TATATCAGAATTATTCTAAACACTCTTATATTTCTGCAACAGAATTAGTTGTAATTATCATTCTCATATTCTCGCTGTTGAATTATTACTATTACTCTCATAACCCCCTCAGTCCCCCGTGTGAGTTCCGGGGCCCCATTGTGGGGGAAAAGAAGTCGACTAATTGGGGAGCTTCCTTTGAAGTCGGAGTGCATCTGCCGGAGAGGCAAGGAACCAACAGTCTGTATTCAAGAGAATGAGATCTGTAAAACTGATGCACATGCAACACTCAGGTTCTGGAGCAGGACTGCAGTTCAGTAGTGGACGAGCAACCAGAACCTTCCGCCAGAGTTTACAACTGGTGAATGCGAAGAAGAAGAAGAAGATTTCCCCTTAGTGAAGAAGCTGTAACTCACCTGTAGAAATGTATCAGCTGATTGTCTGCATGATAGTTCTGGTGGGAGGTGACATCCTTCAGCCAGCCTTGAACCATCAGTTTCATAATTCTGTGCCCAGAAAGATTCAGTGGGATACCAAATAAAGTTGAATTTAAATAGCAAAAGCAGCAACTCACAAGACAAAGAATATTCTACGCAATTTAGAAGTTAGTTGCATATCATTTTATAGGACATTGCAGAATCAACCCCTGCATTTTTTTTTCTCTGTTGTGCTTTTTCTAGGCAAATTCTACATTCAGTAATCTGCCACTGCTTCTGAATTGTCAGCTCTCTGTACCACCGTCGAAACCAACGCAAGACAAACCGTCCGCAGCTAGGATCGAACCCAGAACTACGAAGTGAGTTCGCAATGCCTAAGCCACAGATGTCAACTCTATGCAATATACCTTTGTCAAATGAGCTGAGAAAAAGAGATAAACTTAAATGCCTTCTTACTTATTTCACTTCATAATATAGCCCTTCATGTCTATATACCTCCCCCCCCCCCCCCCCCCTCCCCCCAAGGTATTTCCTGGCTTTATGTTGAACTTGGTTATTTAGAAGCTCTGCTGTCTTGTTCTTTCGGTCAAAGTTTGTGTTGTATTTAGTACTCCATTGATAGACTTAGGCTAAAACGTTCAGGTGTATTTGTGTGCGTCTTTTCATTCGCTTCACTGAGCTATCTAGTCACATATTATGACATATCTAACATTCAGTGACAAGAGGCCTTCTATCAACATGTGGGATTCTATTAACATGTGGGCTTTTAATGACATGAGGGTTTCTATCAACATGAGGGCTTTTAATGACAAGTGGGTTTCTATCAACATGTGGGATTCTATTAACATGTGGGCTTTTAATGACATGTGGGATTCTATTAACATGTGGGCTTTTAATGACATGTGGGTTTCTATCAACATGTGGGCTTTTAATGACATGTGGGTTTCTATCAACATGTGGGCTTTTAATGACATGTGGGTTTCTATCAACATGTGGGCTTTAAATGACATGTGGGTTTCTATCAACATGTGGGCTTTTAATGACATGTGGGTTTCTATCAACATGTGGGCTTTTAATGACATGTGGGTTTCTATCAACATGTGAGCTTTTAATGACATGTGGGTTTCTATCAACATGTGGGCTTTTAATGACATGTGGGTTTCTATCGACACGTGGGCTTTTAATGACATGTGGGTTTCTATCAACATGTGGGATTCTATTAACATGTGGGCTTTTAATGACATGTGGGTTTCTATCAACATGTGGGATTCTATTAACATGTGGGCTTTTAATGACATGTGGGTTTCTTTAAATATGTAGGTTTCTGTCTGCATGTGGGCTTCTATCAACATGTAAGCTTTTATCAACATGTGGGCTTTCTGGTTGAGTGGTCAGAATATTAGGTTCTCACTCAGAAGACCCAGTTTCTATTTTTTCTCCACAGTTAAGGTTGGCTGCAATGATCTCCAACAGGTTCTGTCTCTTGTCTTGGTTGTAGACTCTCTCAGACTGCTACCTGTCCATCTCTTGAAGTTGTCCTTATACTTGTACCATTGCCAACCTCTTGAAAGACATAACACTCTTTTGAAAAGTCATAATGTAGGAAAAAGTCGGACAGAAGAGAGTAAGAGATAGATTGTGATACAAGTGGAAGGACAACATTAAGGGTGGAGAAAAAACAGCAGTCTGACAGAATAGACAACCAAGATGAGAGACAGAGCATTTTGCAGTTCCACTGCAACCAACCTTCACTGTGGTGAACAGCACCTAAATGATTCGAGTAAATTTATTGGTGCTTTATTAATATTCTACCCCAAACAGGGGAAATCCACAGGTCACGGGACAGTCTAATATTTTAGGGGGCGGTAGATAGGCTGCATGCAGTCGTGGGACCTAGGCTGCATGCAGTCGTGGGACCTGGGCTGCACTCTCTCGTGGGACGTAGGTGGGTTGGGGTTAGGGCCAGTTCTAGATGTTTTGGGGTTGTTAAAAGCATCAGAAAGCCGGGAAACCCAGTCTTACTACCCTCTAAAATGTTGGACTGTCCTGTGACATCTTATGGGGTAGGATATTAATACAGAACCAATTTATCTCCAGCTATCGACTTCACAGCAGCAGTGATTATTTGATTCTGTAATCAATGAACATACTATACCAAAGACAGAAAGTGTGTATGCAGGAATGAACAACCTGAAGGTGGTTGCACACAGTGCTGTTTCATCGTAGCTGGCTAGCATCATGGCCGCTCCCTGACCTTGAACCATGTCCTCCAGAGATGTTTGTGGAGCAGAGTCGAAGGTGGCAGCACTTGCACCTTCCAGGTCATTTATGTGACCCGACTGAGGAGATAGAGGTGGAATTTATGTAGTAAACTTACTTGACACATTAATTTTTTGAGTCCCAAGGAACACACCACACACGCTAACTAGTTTCTCTCCAGACACCCAATGGGCGTGTGATATGTACAGGTATTTACTTTACCACTGGCCAGCACAAAGACGCAAACTAGTAGTTTTGAATAGTATTTTCCGCACTTTGTGTTCAAAGAAACAAGTGTTGATCATTAGATTTATTCGGAAATGTAGTTAAAAGCCTAAACTATAAAGTATGTTTGCAAGATTTACCGAGTTACTAAGTGTTTCTTTGAAAACAATTTGGCTGCCAAGCATGACGGTATTAGTTAGTTCTAGTGCTATTCCACTTGTTATTTAGAAGTAAAGCTACAAAATTACGGGCAAATTCAGTGTTATATAAACTTTGTTTTCTGTTAGTTAGATTAGTTAGTTGTACTAATTGTTTTGGAAGTCAATTCTCTTTACCAAATAATGGTGCTTTGTTATTATGTTCTAAAAGTTTCTCTAGAACAAGATCTAACAGATTGTGTTTATATTTTATGTATACATTACTAAGTGGTTCATGTTCATGTGCGATTCACTTTATTTATATTTTATAGAGTTCTCCATGAGTGTCATGGTAGTTAGTGAAAAAATTATTATTTCATTTTGCCAATTTCTCCAAACAAACCATCTCTTTATTTACTATATTTAACTAATAACACTTGTCTTATGTACTCTCGGTACAATTTTTTTTATTGCATTATTCCTCAACAATCGCTGGTCACTTTGATGTATAAATATTTGTATGCTGCGCGACAGTTGAATAAATATGATCTGTTTCAATGTGTTACATTTGTGAAATCTCAGAACTGCATTACCACCCCTTGGGCCTGATACTAAACCCTCTGGGACTCAAAGAGTTAAGCTAAACAAAGTGATGTTTCCTGTTGAATAGGGTTTTACATCTATAAAGTAAAAGTAAAATAACTCTTTTCATGCCAATGGTATATCGGGCAAACCAGCATTCATATTTTTGTAAACCAATGACCACTTGATAGGCGACGTGGTCAACATTACACTGATTGCCTTTACTTCCCAGGACCTTTACCTGGTATCCATTTTAGGGTTGGTCAACCTGGAAGTCACAGTAATTTTCGGAGAAAAATCCGACTTGATGGGGTTTGAAGCTGACACCACAAGTCAAGCGTTATAGTTACATATATATATATATATACATACATACTCATATACAGCTAGCTATACATCCACTCATAATGGACAGCAAGTTACTTTTTTAACCTCCTCATGTGGGATCCATGGCATCATGGGGGGGGGGGGGGGGGGGGGACAGACCCACTGACCCCCCTCCCCCCCAACAAGGCAACTAATTAGTGATGTTTTCTTCGAAATCAGAGTGCATATGCCTGACAGGCTAAGAACCAACAGTCTGCATACAAATAAGCCTGATGTGTGAAACAAACATAATGCAAAACTCAAGTACTGAAACAGCACCACAAAAGTCCAGAAGTGGATGAACAACCAGAACTTTCTGCCAGAGTTTACAGCCTGAGAATGCTAAGAAGAGAGACTTTGTAACCACCAGGTGCCTAAACATAACTATTATAAGGTAGAACAGGGTTTACAGGAATTGTTCCTGGTTCTCCTTCATGAGATGTTAATCGCACAAAATGCAATCCAGTAGGAGACCAAATGAAAAGCCTGGGTTTTTTAGGGCCACATAGATAGTGCTGTCTCCATGGACTGGGAAAGTTAGGATGTTTAATTTTGCCCCCAAGAGGAAAAACTCCATCACCTTATCGGGCTGCGGGGTCGAACCCTACTATCCTGCATGAGAGCCCGACGTAACCACTCAGCCAGCCACTTCTCTGGTTAGTTATTATTATATGAAAATATAAATATAAAGGACCTGGTGAAGGAAACCAGCTAATTACAAGGCACATGATGCTAAGCCCATAATTTCTATTAACCACTCAGCACTTGATGGGTAAAGTGATCAACACCATACCAGCCAACTTTGCCTCCCAAGAAATTTCCTGTTACTCGCTTTTTCCTGGGTAGACCCAGGATTTCCCTGGGTGGTTTAAATTTAAAGAACGATAAAACTTTTTTTTTAATGAGACAATTATGCAATTCAATGTGGTTTTTTATATTAGAGATTTATAACACAACAAATTCAATGTACAGAACAACTCAGAAGATTCCATAAGAAAGAAATCCTGCTTTTCACCTCAACTATTGTATTTACTGCGAGACTGGTCAGCTCCACATCAACACAGACGGTGCTGTATGCTCCAGGGTTGTTCATCTCAACCAGACTGCTATCTTCCAGTTCCATACACAACCTGTTGGTAGAAACATTCATCAATGACCAATTCACTAGATAAATGTGGGTTTCATCATCATCATCATTCACTAATGAATGATTCAGCATACAAACTGTTGGCATCACCATTCTGTTAGGGTGTCAGAGGCATGCGGTCAGGTCAGGGCAAGGTGAGGTCAGGTCAGGGCAAGGTGTGGTCAGTTCAGGGCAAGGTGTGGTCAGGTCAGGGCAAGGTGTGGTCAGGTCAGGGCAAGATGTGGTCAGGTCAGGGCAAGGTGTGGTCAGGTCAGGGCAAGATGTGGTCAGCTCAGGGCAAGGTGTGGTCAGCTCGGGGCAAGGTGTGGTCAGCTCAGGGCAAGGTGTGGACAGGTCAAGGGCAAGGTGTGGTCAAGTCAGGGCAAGGTGTGGTCAAGTCAGGGCAAGGTGTGGTCAGGTCAGGGCAAGGTGTGATCAGGTCAGGGCAAGGTGTGGTCAAGTCAGGGCAAGATGTGGTCAGGTCAGGGCAAGGTGTGGTCAGGTCAGGGCAAGGTGTGGTCAAGTCAGGGCAAGGTGTGGTCACGTCAGGGCAAGGTGTGGTCAGGTCAGGGCAAGATGTGGTCAAGTCAGGGCAAGGTGTGGTCAAGTCAGGGCAAGATGTGGTCAAGTCAGGGCAAGATGTGGTCAAGTCAGGGCAAGGTGTGGTCAAGTCAGGGCAAGGTGTGGTCAGGTCAGGGCAAGATGTGGTCAAGTCAGGGCAAGGTGTGGTCAAGTCAGGGCAAGGTGTGGTCAAGTCAGGGCAAGATGTGGTCAGGTCAGGGCAAGGTGTGGTCAGGTCAGGGCAAGGTGTGGTCAAGTCAGGGCAAGGTGTGGTCAGGTCAGGGCAAGGTGTGGTCAGGTCAGGGCAAGGTGTGGTCAGGTCAGGGCAAGGTGTGGTCAGGTCAGGGCAAGGTGTGGTCAAGTCAGGGCAAGGTGTGGTCACGTCAGGGCAAGGTGTGGACAAAGTTGCTTGATCACCTTTGCAAAGATTCCCAGTTCTGGTTGCTCACAAAGACCCCATGATGTGAAATTAACCTTTCCGTCATGTAAAACAGCTCAGCAGGTGCTACGCTCCTAACAACTGGTGGTTGTCTACAAAAACAGGTTAGTCCAGGGCACTCTACAAGTTGTAAAGAATAAAAAGTTGAACGTTTGAGAACAATTAAAGACATGCAAGGAACATTTTATGCAGCGGTTCTCAACCTGCGGGTTGCCTAAGCCATCGGAAAACACATATTTATTGAAATTATGAAGAGATATAATTGTTCGGGGGTCGCCACAACATTGAGGGAACTGTACTAAAGGTTGAGAGCCACTGATTAAATGCATTTGAGAACAAAAGCCTGAGGAAAATGCTGCATATAAAATGGGATGCATTCAAGTGGGATGAAGAAATGTGAGAAATGTCTGGGCAACCACTGGTAACATCTATAAGATAATGAAGATGGCGCTATACTGGACAAAGTCAAAACCAAACAAGCTCTCAAATGGGAAATAAAGGGACTGGAGCAAGGACGTCCAAAAGAAACCCTAAAACAAATGTTGATGAGAGAGGCCAAAGATGCTGGACTGGATTCCATCCATGATACTGACTGCACAGGGTAGAATGAATAAACAAGCGAATGAACGGACAAATTTTCTTTTCAAAGGGTTACAAATTGGGCATGCAGACCCGTCTTACATTCGCTCTTCCAAACACCTACCTTTCACACAGCAGTTGTGTATTATCAGTAGAGTACGTTATGATCATATAATAATACACATATTATGAATACCAAGAAAAAACACAAAAGTATGGGTGGTAAAATGTATAAGCACATTTGTGCGTGCACACATACACAAGCCCACCCATTCACTCACACACTCTATCTCTCTCTCTCTCTCTTTCAAACCAGCGGAAGGCAGCTGTAATCATAACAGAAGACATCAAGCAGGTTACCTGTTGTCATCTGCCTCTTTGCCTCCCAAATCTGGCCGATGAGTAGGAGAGGCCCACAGGATGTGGTTGTGCTTTGTTGCAAGTCGGGCCAAAAACAGATCGCAACCAAACATGGCGAAGTCCTGTGGGATGTTGCCGACAGGTACGTGGAGGTATCGGGCTTGTTCCAACAGAGACTGGAATGTAAGCATAAGTAAGGGAGTCAAGAGCAATTGAGAAACCCACTACATCTTATACAAAAAGGGTTTCAAATGAAAACCTTAAAAGTGTTTCAGAAATTACAATAGCCATGTCACTGCTCTATACCCTCTCAATATTGTTGTTAAGGATATCAAGACCGTGAAGCATATGGCATCACCTACAGAGGAACATGGTGACATCATGATGACAGTTTAGATACACCCACCCCTATTTTGACAGGCACTAAAGAGGAGCAGCATTCTGTTTTCCAGTTGCTTTTTAATCAGTGAAGGGGTTGAACCTACAGAAATTCATTGGTGAATGAAGGTCCAGTATCATCATGCATGCCTGTCAGTCCAGCAAGTGTATGAGTAGAGCAGGAAGGTTTAAAGTGACCTGACCTCTGTGACAGACTATATCTTATACAAGAAGGGTTTAAATGAAATCCTTAAAAGTGTTTCAGAAATTACAATAGCCATGCCACTGCTCTATACCCTGTCAATATTGTTGTTAAGGATATCAAGACCGTGAAGCATATGGCATCACCTACAGAGGAACACAGACATCATGATGACAGTTTAGATTATTTTGACAGGCACTAAAGAGGAGCAGCATTCTGTTTTCCAGTTGCTTTTTAATCAGTGAAGGGGTTGAACCTACAGAAATTCATTGGTGAATGAAGGTCCAGTATCATCATGCATGCCTGTCAGTCCAGCAAGTGTATGAGTAGAGCAGGAAGGTTTAAAGTGACCTGACCTCTGTGACAGACAATTAATTTTGTGTGGCACTGGCCTCCCACATCTTTCAAGTCTTTGTCCGCTTTTTTTTTTTAAATGCTATCTCCACAATAGAGGTTGACTGCAGTGAGTCTAATGTAATAACTGGGGAAATTACAGGGGTTTAATAATGTGGACAAATCTCTTCTAACAACACCACTCTCCCACTTCTATCTGACAGCCATGAGAAGTCCTTTTCTAAATCACCCACCACAGGAACGGAACCCTGGTACACCAAGGATTAGACTGGGGGACAACTCCATTAACGTCCAAGCCACACTCGTCTTATATACTCTTGGTAATTCCTGATACAGATGACTTCCATGCCATGATGCTAAATTTCCTGGTGGTCATATTTATGTTTGGATGTTCTTAATAAGGGTCTCAGTTGGATAAACAAATGCATTTGCTCTTTGGCGTCCTGTTTCGATTTCATGATATATTCTGCCATCCTCCAAGAATATACTTCCTAGATAATTAAATTCTTTGTTTTGTTTAAGACAAGTACTATTTAATACTATATGTAGTGGACTAGGAATTCTACTGACCACTATTACTGCAGTTTTAGCCATAAATACATACTTGTATGTATATGTTACTGTTAACATAATGCTGGAGCATACGTCGACAGCCCACTCTTTGCCAGTCCAGTACGTTGTAGAGTGTTGTGCTGTCTGTGACATGTATGGGCACCAGAGGAAACTGCCCAATCTCCGGTAACAGATTAGTTAGATGAGTCAAGTCTGAAAGTGGACACACAACAAATATATATAGCGGTCAGCTTTACATAAATTCTTCCTGAAAGAGGACACAACAATTGTATACTAGTCGCTTTACACTAATTATTTTTTACAGTGGACATCCAACAAGATTATATCGGTTTGTCTTACATAAATTATTTCCTAAAGCAGGCATGCAACAAACAAATACTGGCCCCTTTTACTTAAATTAATCCTGAAAGTGGATATACAACAAATCTGTAATGGTCACTTTCACACAAATACTTTCTGAAAGTGAATATTCAACAAACAAAAATAATCATTTTTACTCAAAAGGCTTGCCGTGAGTTGTTTAAAAGCCCATGCCAAGCTGAGAGATGGGAGGACAAGGAGGAGGAGTAATGAACACATCTAAATGTGATTCTTTCTTCTTCTGTGGTCAAGTGGTCAAGCTGTTTGACCTCATCGTTCTGGAGGTTGGGGGTTCGTTTCACAGGCAGATGCTTCACTAGTGCAGTTTCAACCTTTTAACCCTGGTGACTAGGAAAAATAAAGCCAAGCCCCTGTACTATCCCTTGTTTGGATATTCACCAACAAAACAATCTTTGGGAAAAAAAAATTCACGTCACCAAAAACCACAAAATTAATTATCATCAAAAACACAAATACTATATAAAAGGTTGTAATTTTTAAAAAAAATGAATACACCATAGAATCAACTGGCTTAAATCTCCTGAGGCCTATAAACTAATTATAGGGTGACACTGACTTGACCCTGTGACCCTGTTAGTGAAATGGAAAAAATCTTAAAGGAATTTTTATAAATTTAATCATCCCTTGTTGTGTTGAACATTTGTGCAGATGCAATAAATTCTGTTAGCTAAATGTCTTGAAAATTGGTGACTACAGCGAGTCTGAATAGCGGCTTTTATAGGGAAGTGGTACCAACCGAAAGTGTCAATTTTATGGCTTCTAGAGAAGAAAGGGTTAATGGAGATTCCTGGGTATCATCACTAGAGCTATAGTGTTTGTACTTTATGTGACACTCTTGGCAGGTAGTTAACTGTTCTGGGGACAGACAGTGAGCCTTAAGCAATACCACATTCTTCTACAAGATGTCACCCTCTCAACTTTCATCCGATACCACTGTGTAGTCTAGTTACTGGAAATTAATACTAATAGTTTTTAAAAACAGTAACACTAACCAAAAGCACTCTGAACAGCAATGAAGGTCGGTCCCCTTTTCTCTCTCTTATAATCCGTCAAGATCCGCTGAAGCTGGGCAAATTTCTGCCGTTCGTTTGCTGTTTTGCTGAGAGAGACACTAAATGTCAGGCTGGTCGGTGGCAGCAGCTCTTCATCTGTGCCCTGAACCAGTCTGGGGAACAACATTTATTGGTGCATCATCAAGAGAGAGAGGCAGATAACATAGGAACAAGAACTGTGTTTAATCTCTCACATGCTTGAACGCACGCACACATGCACAGAGACGAAAAACAAAACATACAACAACAAAAAAAAAAAGGGGGGGTAAGAAAAAAAATTGGGAGTAGATCTAGAAAGACCCCCCAAAAAAATGGTGGACAGGTGACATATAGGCAGATCTGCAAACAAGGGAATCCCCAACTGGACAGAGAAGGAAAGGTATGCAGAGATGAATAGAGTTGGATGACATCTGCAACGATGAATGTCAAGGGAATGCTGAAGAAGAAGAATCACCAATACTTACCAGTGTGCTAACGATAACTGTTTGATAAAGAGGTCATGAAATTAGTAGCTCCTTATTCTGTAACAAGATAAATCTAATACTGATGTTCAGAAAAGAATTATGGACATTCAGCCGGTTTGTAAAAAATTATGTGGAAGCTGCAGATATATCAGTTTTCACTGAAACAATATCCAGACAGCCCTACAAACAAATGGAGTCACCAACTGGAAAGAGATGGACAATCACAGAGATGAACATAGGCAACTGATATCTGTAGCAATGAGCCTCAAGGGCTCAGAATGCTGAAGAAGAAACCTGAATCACAAATTACTTATGAAAATTAGTTCCAGAAACCTAAGACAAACACATTGTTATAGATACAAACCCCTGTTTTACTGGGGGTTTGCCAGTGGGGGTTCCAAGACCCCATTATGGGGGAGGGGGGGGGAGGGGGGGAGGAGGGGGGGGGGGGCAAGAATACTCACTGCCTCTTAAAAAAAAGGATGTTATACAAGGCGACTAACTCATAGTCTTTTCTTCAAAGCTGGAATATATCTGCCTAAAAGGCAAGAAACAAAGTCTTCACAGAAGAAAAATCCAGAATTGTAAAACATTGTGTGCATGCAAAACTCTAGCTCTGAACAAGATAAAAGCTTAGAAGTAGATGAAAAACCAGGACTTTCCACCGGAGTTTACAAAAGGTGAGCGCTACAAAGAAAACCAGGGGCTTTTTAGAAAGCAGAGAATAATTACGCTACACGCTACCAGGCATGTTGTAAGACACAACCAAAAGTAAGGTTGCAAACCTCTTTTCTTAAGTCTATAGTCACAAAATCAACCATGTCATTGTATTGGAACTCACTGGGTAAAGAGAATAAAATGCAGATACTAAAACTTACGTAGAAGAGACATAGAGAATGAGATTAAAAAAACAATGGGGGGAAAAAAGGATGAGCTCTCTGCAAAAGCAAAGGACAGGATGTCGGGGTCTAAACTGGTTAAATAAGCTCCACTAAGGGATAAGAAGAAGAGAAAGAAGAAAACTCAGAAAAAGAGGAGGAGAAGGATATAAAGATGACACTGGCCTATGAGAATGTCAGTATAGCATATGAACTAAGGTACAGAGAGGATCAAAATGTGCATATAACAGTTTTAATATCGCTTTATATCTATTTATTCCTCCTTTCCTCACTCTCTCTCCTCCATTCCCTCATTTTTTCTCCCTCTTCTTCCCCCCCCCCCCCCACTGTTTTTATCTAGAACACTAAATGACTAAGATCTGTGGAAGTACTGAACACTGAAACCTTTAGACAAGATAATGATGATGATCATTTTCAAGGTAAGAACTAGAGAACTTACTTGGCATTTCTCTCAGCTGTGTACAAAGGGCCTAAACTAGGCATTTGATCTCCGATGGCTGTATCAAACACAAATACTGAGGCACTTTTTCCAGCAGGGTTAAACAGACCAAAGATGGCTTTGTTGCCACTGTTGAAAACAATAATACAATTCTAATTATATAGGGATCGAGTCTCCATCCTCTGTGAAAGATGGTAATTTTGTTTGTGTTGGAGGCAATTAAAGAAACTTAACGTGTGCAGCGCGTGGCAACTGTGCAAGTCAGGCAACCTTTAATCCTCATGATCAGAACATTCCATTCCCCAACCCCCGCCACCAATTATAATACTTTGCAATTTTTAATTTAAAAATCAGTATCTATAAGTTTTTACCAATCTCTAATTATACTTTGTTACTTACTCTAGTATAAAAATATACTGTATCTCTTCTTATACCTTTTATTTATAAACCACTTTTTATATAATAATCAACAGCTAAGTACACCTTGTACCATAGCAATTTTCAGCGCCGTTCGTGGCTAAGGCGTTGCGAGTCCCACTCGTAATCCAACGTACCGCGGTCAAAACCCACTGCGAGCTGCGTGGATTGTTATCGTGGTATGGGACGTCGCAGGTCGACCCAGCCTCAAATGGGTACCAGGATGGCTGTCCTGGGGAAGTAAAGACTGCAAGCATAATGCTGACCACATTACCCACCGAGTGCCGATTGGTTTGTAAAAATATGGGGCGCTCTGCCCATATGCTTGATGCGCAGAAAGGTGTGAAAGGGGATATTTTTATAGCAATTTTCACACATACAAACTCTAATTATAAAACAATCAATCTCTAAAGAAAACTTTCTAAGTTAGTTGCTATCAGGTTTTTTTTCCTTTCTATTCACCATAGTGTCTAAAAGTGGTGCCAGTCACCCCACAAAGTGTATACCAAGGTAGAGCTGAAAAAAGATGCCTAAAAAATATTACAGATACTAAGTGCTGGTGCATATCGCCAGAGAAAGAAAAAAACATGTTATTCAAATAGTGGACAGGGCATTTGTCCTCACGGCCTGAATTCCAAAAATGTGGGTCATATGGTCACTGTTTTCCAGCTGATATCGGTGAGCAGATAAATAATTAAAAACAAAATTAATAAGTCATTATCATCATCAAAAGTGTGATCTGTACTGTCACACACATCACCTTCCCTCTTTTCAGAGAATTAAGAAGTGGGCATGCAGGAGAGAATGGCAAGAGGATGCTGGACAGTGTGGCATATAGTATGGAAGAACATTTGTGTAAGAACAGATGAAAGTACACAAGACCGAAGGCTAGTCCAGGGTTTGGGGAAGACCTTCAAAAACAGGCAGGGGTCACAGGGTCTTATCTAATCGGTAACAACTGGCGTAGGATGGTCTCATCTAATCAGTAACAACTGGCGTAGACTGTAAGAAGTCACAGTGCTCTGTAAGGCAGAAGACAAAAGGCCGTCTTAGACCAAATACTCGAGTGCTTCAATACGAAGATGACATTATATAATGACGATGGTAAAGATAGTTTTAGATCAGACAGGGGTTATTGCTTTAAAAAAAAATTTTTTTTTTAAGGGAAAGAAAACACAACAACAAAATTTATACCATTTATGATGGTACAGGTACAGATGTTTGACTGAGCCCTGGCTGAGGTAGGGGAACTGGGCTACGCTTCGGAAATTGAGATTGTTCACATCAAACGTGTCTGTTTCTCTGCCTTCCATGCTGCGAGCAAACTCCCTGTTGACTGTAGTTAGGCACCCGAGTTTGACAAGGGCCCGAAATTCCAACGGCACCTGAGTTTCATACACCCCCTCAATGTCAGGTGATGCCAAGTCAGCTGTGATGTCACTGAGACAGAAATTACAGTATGTTACTTCTTTATGTTTGTATAAACTTTGGGAATAATCAGGAAAAATATTTGCCATCAAACCCTTCAAGACAACCTCACAAAAGAAAAATAGCTTCTTCTTCTTCATTCGCATTTAAAATGATGTTTGGTATATTGTGCTGTGGTTTGCAGATGGTTTACAGATATTATGAAATACATATCTGCAAACACATCCGATTTAAGTAAACCCCTGCACCCCCATTCCCTCATTTATGACAATCACACAAAATATCCTACACCGACCCATGTAAAATTTAGAGAAAAATTTACATCTCTGCAAAATCTTGAGGCCTGCACATGCAAGTAAAAATACACAAGGCTGTATGTTAGATGTGCCAACACTAACGGTCCCATACCAGAATTGCATCTCCCTGCTGGCTCAAATGGTAAATCACGAAAGCTGGTGCTGCATCCCAAAAGTACATGCCATTCTGAACATAATCGGCCACCTGTCATTTTATGTAGTCAACAACACTCCGGTGGTACAACAGCAGAAAAAAAAAAACATTCCACATGAAATCAGTTTATAGTGTCGCACCAAGCATTCAGCTCAGTAGCTGGATGACAGAACTTTTAGAGTCCCGGTCCAGAAATGCAGAATTTGCATCAGCAGAAAGCAAATCATTTTTCAGAGCATCAGCGGTCAGCCAGCTATCATAAAACAGATTAACAAAAAGCAAAAACACAAATAATACTAATTATCAAGTAAACAAAGTAATCAGCTGTTCATTGCCCTTTGCTAGAAAAGAAAACTGTTTAGACAACCAAAGTCAAGAATAAGACAAAAACAGACATATTAGAAGATTTTAACACAGAAGAAAAGAGAAGAAAAATGACTTAGAATCTTAAAACATTAGCAGTATCAAAAAAAGTTATTTATCCCCATGTATTAACTTAGTCAATAATGAAGACAGAAATATGCATCAAATCTGAATAGTCAATTTTGTATGTATAAAATAGCAGCTCATTCTGACGACAACAAAAAAGAATGAAGAGCTGCAACAATCCGCTGAAACAGAAGGAGAGAACTTTGTATGATGCAAACAGAAAATTGTAAAAATTATAGCTGTGGAAAAAGATTATGCGGCGAAAATTCAAAATATGTGTGTGCTGTATGGGAAGTTAATAGGAGCACTTCTGGTAGCTGGGTTAAAAAGCTAGGGCTTCAGAAAATGGGTAGACGGACTTGGAGACATTATTGCGTCTGTTTATTCATAATGTGAAGAAATCGTTAAGTAAAGAGGGGGAAAAAGCTTGATATGGGCAGAGCGTACATGCCCTTTTGTTTTGACTTAGACTTAGAGAATTGAAGTGTACGGAGATCAATAAGAAAATTAGATCCATCCCATGGTGCTGGTGCCTTGTCGTGGCAGGATGGCTTGAGTACCCTAATGACTCTCAGAGCTATGCCGAAAAGATCTTGAAAAGAAGAGTCAGATCAAACTAGCACCCTGGTCCTCCAGGTTGGGGATTGGGCAAAGGGTTGACAACCCATTACCGTAAAAAAAATACTTTGTTACGGAAACAGGAACAAGTGAAATCATTGAACCGGTGGAAAGAAGTGAAGCTTGCCAGATATTTGGTGAAATGACGGCCGGGGATCAAAGCCGAAAGAAAGTCAACAGCCCGACAGTGAATCTTCTTTCTCCCCAAAACACCCTAAGTGTTTGATGTTGAAATGTGAGAACACTGTATCAAACTGGAAAAGTGGAACAAGTTCTTCATGAGATGCACCTGATCACAAACAAAGAACTGAGGGGGAAAACAGAATGTGCATCACTGGCAAATGTCATCAAAGTAAGACGATGGAGATGGCTTGGACATATTTGCCAAATAATTTGTGACACTCTGGCAAAAACAGATCTCTGGTGGACAGCAGATGGGAATAAGAGACGTGACGACCTCAGGAAACCTGGGGAAGGACAATAGAACAGGAAATGAAGACATGTAAACTGACATGGCTGGGTTGACCTGGGAGTCAAGGTCAATTGTGAACTAAATCATCCTTGATGCCGATCCAATGTGATGGCAAGATGACATAATGATGTCAGGGTGACAACATGACATAATAATGATGTGGTGACAAGACGGTATTATGATGATGTGGTGACAAGATGACATAATAATGATGTGGTGACAAGATGACATAATAATGATGTGGTGACAAGATGACATAATGCTGTGGTGACAAGATGACATAATAATGATGTGGTGACAAGATGACATAATGATAAAGTGGTGACAAGATGACATAATAATAATGTGGTGACTAGATGACATAAAAATGATGTGGTGACAAGATGGCTTAATAATGATGTGGTGACAAGATGACGTAATAATGATGTGGTGACAAGATGACATAATAATGATGTGGTGACAAGATGGCTTAATAATGATGTGGTGACAAGATGACATAATAATGATGTGGTGACAAGATGACATAATAATGATGTGGTGACAAGATGGCATAATAATGATGTGGTGACAAGACGGCATAATAATGATGTGGTGACAAGATGACATAATAATGATGTGACAAGGTGACATAATAATGATGTGGTGACAAGATGACATAATAATGATGTGGTGACAAGATGACATAATGATGATGTGGTGACAAGATGACATAATAGTGATGTGGTGACAAGATGGCATAATGATAAAGTGGTGTCACGATGACATAATAATGATGTGGTGACAAGATGACACAATAATGATGTGGTGACAAGATAACGTAATAATGATGTGGTGACAAGATGACATAATAATGATGTGGTGACAAGATGACACAATAATGATGTGGTGACAAGATGACACAATAATGATGTGGTGACAAGATGACATAATAATGATGTGGTGACAAGATGACATAATAATAATGTGGTGACAAGATGACACAATAATGATGTGGTGACAAGATGACATAATAATGATGTGGTGACAAGATGACATAATAATGATGTGGTGACAAGATGACATAATAGTGATGTGGTGACAAGATGGCATAATGATAAAGTGGTGTCACGATGACATAATAATGATGTGGTGACAAGATGACACAATAATGATGTGGTGACAAGATGACATAATAATGATGTGGTGACAAGATGACATAATAATGATGTGGTGACAAGATGACACAATAATGATGTGGTGACAAGATGACATAATAATGATGTGGTGACAATATGACAGAATAATGATGTGGACAAGATGACATAATGAAGGTGTGATGACAAGATGACATAATAATGATGTGGTGACAAGATGACATAATAATGTTGGGGTGATAAGATTATGTTGAGGTGATGAGATTATGTTGTGGTGATGAGATTATGTTGTGGTAACAAGACAACATAGTGGTGACAATCTGATTGCAAAAAAGCCTGCCTGTCAAAAACTAAAACTACTTACTTGATATGCTTTATGTATAAATCTTCAGGAACATCATATTGATAGAGGTTAAACACCGGGTGGGACCGAGGCAGGGTTCGGTGCACTTTCTTCCACACTTTAAGAGAAAATTGCAAAAATAAATAAGTTGAAAACAACTGCATATATAGGAGGGAAAAACTATGTGTTTTCAGCTTGAAACCTGAGTAGGGTGTGCAATAAAAAAAAACAACCCAGTATTACAAAATGTGTGTACTGCTCTGAACAAAGAAGAAATAGACTGTATAATTTATTGCCAGGTGCATATTCAAGAAATAAATAAGATGAAAAAAATACCCTAATTGTAAAACTTTTTTGCACCAGAAAAAAAACAACAACTGCACAGCCAGGTACAATCCAACCCCCCCCCCCCCCCCCCCCCTTTTTTTTTTTTTTTTTTTAAACATGATTTTAAACAGGTAATACAAAAATCCTAACAATTTCTCATGGACCAAAACAATATTAATTTCCATACAGAATGAGTGGATTAATCAGTAAACATGAATAAAGCAAAGAGCATGCATGCGCACCCCCCCCCCCCCCCCCCCCCCAACTGGACAGAAAGAATAGAAGTTGTTAATGATAGTAACAGTTGGACCTGTTGTTACATTCTTAGAAAACAGTAGAAAGAACAGCCAGTACCACCACTGGGCACTTGCACGTAAAATGCTCCTCCCCATGATGCTTACTGGCATAAGTGGAAGAGGATGCTGATGATGATCTCATACTTACTGGCTCCTTCTCCTTCCTTGGGAGTTTTCTGATTGACATAGAAAGTCCTGGGGATATTCAGCTTGATGGCGTGTAGATCTGATCCAATAAGGGCCCACAATTTGAACTGACCTGGATGTGATGTTTCCATGATCTGCAAAATAAAGACAATTAAAAAATTGTAATGGCTAGTATACTGTGGCAACAGCAAAGCTGGAGGAAGATGGTGAATTATTTAATTTAGTATCATGGAATAAGGGTAATTTATATTTTTTTTAAATTAATGGAAGTACACATAACATAACGGTTTCGCTGCCTAGGTTTCTGAGTTAAGTGCTTGGTGCAGTACTGTGAGTGTGTATTTTGTGTGAAATGCCTTTTATTTTGTGCCTGCAGCAGTTGAGTCATGATATTAGGCAATTGGCAGGTAGGCAGTTTGCACCTGAACTGGCAAAATACCTTATATGATAAATTTGCACACACACATATACATATATTATATATATATATATATATATATATATATATATATATATATATATATATACACCACATACATATACACATATATACATACATACACACACACACACACACACACAGCACATCACAAAATGACAGCTTACTTTCATCAGCGACAAACTACATTTCTAGTGGCAAATGCTGGTGTTGGCCTTATGCAATTATTGCATGTGCATGTTTCTGGATTTTGTTGGGATTATTTTTTCACTAGTCCGCATGGGACACTGAGGGACATTTCAAGTGATTTCCACTAGCACAAGAATGGAGCAACTATGAGGCGACCCATTAAAATAAAGCTGATACCTCAAATATTTAAACAGCCGCTACTACACATGACAGAAAGATATTAACAGACATGATGATCAAAGCAAAGGGCATAGAATAAAAGAAGAAAAAGGAATTTAATAAGATATGGTTTTAGCCAACCTTTTTTAGCTTGCCCTTCTTTTGGGGTTTTCCTGACACTCTTCCTTTGAGAAGATTACTAATGGTGTCATGTTTAGTCAGATTATATGATCACTGTACTCTCTCAGGACCGCTGTTCATCCATCTCTGTAAGTTCTCCAACATGTTGCATTGTCTGCTTCTTGCTTTTGACTTTTCTCTCCAGTATGATTTTTTTTTTTAAAGATCGTTATGCCTTTTCATACGGCCAAAAATTTTCACTTGTCCTCTTTTCATCTTTAAGCAACTCTCTTTTCACTTCCAGACTTGATTTAACCTGGCAATTTTCAAAATCCCAACTAACAATTATTATGTTTTAAAGCATACCTGTACAATCTGCCAGGGCATATCCATCATAGACCGTGCTGTTTTCCTCAAAAAGCCGGTCAATCCTCTACTGGGGCCAGCTCTGACGTCAGCAGGAAAGTCTGTGTCATCCATACGGCGACGTTTGTTCTCTTGTCGAATCTGGTGTTGAATTGCCCACTTTTTTTTCTGGTATTCAACCCAAAGTCGTCTTTCTTCCTGCAGGGAACAAGAGAACAAACATACAATTAAAAGTTCAAACACAACTATGCTGTCTCCACAACAACACAGGAGGAGGAGGAGGAAGATTTTAGGTTCTAGACTTCCAAATTCAATAGCCAACATTTACAAACCTTTGTTTTTCCGACTGGAGGCATAGGTCCCAGGACTGCTCTCCAATCTTCTGGGGCTGCATGCTGACCTGTCTCTTCCCCAGATAACCCTCTTTTTCTTTTGTGTGAAATGGCCATACCAACAAGTCTGGGAGTTTTTTTGGAACCACCTGCTGTATCTTCAATGTCTCTAATTGTTGGCTCTTGTGCAGAATCTTCCACATGACTCTTTTCTTCAGCTTTGTCGGTGATCTGAGAATGGAGAAGATTAAACAAACAAAATCAGTGGTTTTGTTTATGTTCAAGAATAGCCTTCAATTCACTCAATAATTAAAATTAACAATGTCTTCACATTGTGAATTTAATTTATTACCTGGCATATTTGGCTACAACTTGTTGGGTTTAAACTACAGAATTGACATTAATAACTACTCAAGCACAAAAATTATTCTTGGCTTGAATATGCAGATCATATTTCTATGGCATTATACACATTATTGTTGGCATCCGTGGCTTAGACGCTGAAATTGCTTCATAATTCCATGGTACCAGGTTCGATTTCAAATGAAGTCAATTTGGCAGCAGACCAAATGATGCTGGTTTCAATAGTTGTATTGACAGCTAACTGTTCAGAAAGCAATGGCAAATTACTGAATATAAAATAGTCTAGTGAAATCACAAACATCCAGAAATGCTGCAGCTGGCTCTGTAACGGCCTGTAAAGGATGCACAACAAAACAAAATATCCTGAGAGGATTAACTTTTCACTACATAGGATTTTACTCCACAAGGCTCAGTCTCTTTGTCACATAAAAGACACCCTTCCAAGAGTGGTGTAAAGAGAAACAGTGGCTCCAGTGACAACTCCCAGGTATCTTCGTAAAAACCGCACAGTGAACCAAACAAACCAAATGAAAACATGACCTTCTGAATGTGACATAAACTGCTGTTCCTCTTTGTCACAGAGACGCCAGACCCAATGTTTTAGATTGCTAAGGCAATTGTAGTATATGAACAGCCATGTGTTATGCACACATAAAGAATATGTGGTTAATTTAAGACTACAGCAGTGAAGTGTGCAGTGAAAAATTCAACTATGTGATTTCCATAGAAAACCACACATTTCCAAACCACATCCACACCCAAGCCAATACATACGTACACAAACAAAATTCTAAGAAAACATTTTGTACAAAAATGCAAACAAAGATTATCATCATCAGATAGCAAGTCCTTTACAGAATGTCGCTGTCATCATTGCACGCCTGAAAGTCTCTCTTTCTCTAGCCAATCCTTCAGCCTTACGTGCTTTCATAGAAAATAAATGTTCACTGTCTTGTATAAACATTTGCCGAGGTCTGCCTCTGCCTCATTTTCAAGAAACTGTACCCTCTATTACTGTTTATTCCAGAACAGCACGGCGTTTAACATGGCGAAAATACCTCAACTTTTGGGTTGGAACAGGATGCTGTTTATGGGCCAATTCTCCTCGATGCTCAGATCATGTAGGACAGGGCAATTCAACTAAGTTTACTCATTTGCACACATGTTTTTTAATGAGGATGGTTATGGGCCAGGAGCTCGAGTCGTTGCAAAACAGTACAACTGGTAATAATCCGCGGGCCACTTGTTAGGCCTCCGTGGGCCAGATGTGGTCCGCAGGCTGCCAGTTGAACAGCCATGATGTAGGATGTCAGCATTTTTCTTCATCTTGGTCAATGATATTCTAAGATTATTTTTCTGAGCATTTCAGTTCAAAAGCTCTGATTCCAAATAAAGATAAAACTACAAATAGAAAGTAGCTATAATTTAAAAAAAAAAAAAATTCTTAGCTGTCCACTAAATGATTTGAATATCAGGCAAGGGCTGGTAAATACATATTTAATAAACAAACGGACAATGCACTGATCGGCATTCATAGATAGATAGAAGGACACACTAGACAAAAATCGAAGGCTAGTTACCGTGCCGGGAATCGAACCTACCACCTCAAAATCACATGTGCACCCTGCTATGGAAACAAGTGTACTAAACATGACCAACTAGGCACACCCAAAAAAGGTGTCTTTACTGGCCATGTCTATCGTACAGCTTGAAATCCACAACATAAAACACGAACAGAATTCATCACAAACCATTGAAATGGCACCAAAGGTTACAGAAATGTATATTAACCAAGCACAGGTTGAATAATAAACACAGCAATTTCAAACCAATCAGACCCTAATGCTGTGTCTAGAATACAACTAACTTTTAGGAGATTTGATTGGTCGGTTCCATTGTATTACATGTAAACAGAGGAGGAAACCTTTAATTAACCCCATGTGGGTCTTCATTTTGTGGTAAAACAGAACCACTAACTCCCTAAGAAGCAAGTGACACAAGGTTTCTAATTAGGGGCGTTTCCTTCGAGGTAAAGGGGGTGCGGGTGACCTACTATCCCTTAACAAACATGTCACAACAGCAACTAATTAAGGGTTTGCTGACAGGGGTGGTGTTGGACCAAAAGGACACAGGTACCGCAGCCTAGCTGTAAACCATAACAACAAATGTGAACTGGTCCTTTTGAAAGTGAAGTCAAAAGAAGGAGAAGGACACAACAGTAAAATAACAGTACTTCTATTTAAGAACCACAACTGTGTACAGTTCTCACCTTTTCACGGGTAGATGGTGCAAAAATTTCACTGATCTTCTTCTGCTTGTACACGTCATTTCTCTCCAACATCTTCTTCCGCAGCCAGTCAGGATGTGGAATACGAGGAACTGGATTTGAAACCTGAAAGAAGTCAAGGATGAGTCTACAATCTGGCTATTACAAGACCACCATGTAAAAAATCATCGTAACGGGGCCAATAAGAAAAGTAAACAACAAAAGCAGTATGATCTAACACCTGCACAGGGCTGCAGAGCACACCAGTTGGTGTAGCCGTCAGGGATGACCTAATTAAATCTTCCTTGAAAGTTGAATGGAGTATGATCTTCTTAGCGCTCACCAGCTGTTAACTCCAGCCGGAAGTCCAGTTTTTTTTCCACTTCTTGATTTCAATCTTGTCCCAAGACTTGAGTTTTGTGTGCACTCCGTTTTAAACATCTGGCTTATTTTTATGCAAACTACTGGTTTCTCGCCTCTGAGGCAGATGCACTCTGACTTCAAAGAAGCACCCCTAATAAGTCGCCTTTTACGACATGTTTGTCGGTGGCAGTGGGTCTTCTTTTTCTTCCAAAAACTGAACTATGGAACCCACACACGGATGAGGTATCTGAAGGTTGCCTTTGGACTGCTATCCAGGATCCTGTCAACTGTTAAAGGACGCAGGTATAGTCAAACAGTCAGGTGACTCAAAACCTTCAGGTTTCCAATGTGGGTTCTAGGGCCTCATTTTATGGAGGAGGGGGAGGAGGTTAGACACACTGCTCCATGTCCCGACAAGCATGTCGTAGGAGAAGTGTTCTCCTCAGAGTGCAGCTGTCTGAGAGGCGAAGAACCAACAGTCTGCACAGAAACAATCTTGATGTGTAAAATGAATGTGCAAGACAACTCAAGTTCTAGAACAAGACCAGAGTTCAGAAGTGGACAAACAACATTGCCATTCCAGTGGTGTTTACAGCCAGTGAAGGCGAAGAAAAAAAGGCAACCTTCAGATATCATTCCACAAGGAAAGACAGGCTGAAGACAGATAACATTGTAACATATCATTCATGTAGTAATAAATGTGGTTAACGGTGATACGTTCGACTAGGACAGACTTCTTCGGGAGACTTTACCTCCTTTAGCTTGGTCTCTTGTCACATAACTGTTGAGACTTTCATACAAAGCATAAGCTGCACAGCCCCAGCAATGATCCTTCAAAACAGTAGTTCTCAACCTTCCTAACCCGCGACACTTCAATAAGTTCCACATGTTTTGGCGACCCCCAATCATAAAATTATTTTCATTACTACTTCATACCTTAAGTGAATATGTGTTTTCCTTTGGTCTTTGGCGACACTTATAAAAGGGTTGTCGAACAAAAACACACAAAAAAGAGTCGGGCCCAAAGGTTAAGAACCACTGCTCTAAAACATTACATTTGTGGACCACACAATGTAGTTAGCAAATGCATCCACAACCTTCAGGATGCAAAGCAATTAAAAGTAAGTAAGGAAGGGCGGTGTGACAGTTTCCTCAACAGGTTAAGAAAATGTAGTTAAAAAAAGATCAGATCATGAACAAGTCTACAAAGGGCTTGGCAAGAGTTAGGTGAGGGTCTTCATTCCACTGGGAGATGAAATGTAACAGAAGATCTCTGAGAGAGAGTGAGCGCAAGTGAGACAAACAGACAGACAGACAGACAGACAGACAGACAGACAGACAGACAGACAGACAGACAGACAGACAGACAGACAGACAGGCAGACAGGCAGGCAGACAGGTAGGCAGGCAGAAGGACAGACAAAAAGGCAGGCAGGCAGACAGACAGACAAACAGATAGAAGGACAGACAGACAGACAGACAGACAGACAGACAGACAGACAGAAGGACAGACGGACAGACAGACAGACAGACAGACAGACAGACAGACAGACAGACAGACAGACAGACAGACAGACAGACAGACAGACAGACAGACAGAACAAGCAGTACAACAAACAAACTTACTGACTGCAAGGCTGCAGGAATGGTAATGATTTTCTGAATGCAACCTCCCAGTCTCTCCACGTAGTACCCCCAGTCAAGGATCTAGATAATGTGTTCACAATTATTACAATTATATCCCAACATTCTTGATGACAATTTTAATAACACTGGTCTACAGCAATGTTTCCTAACTATTTTGGCTCGCAGAGCACTTTCAAAATAAAATTTATTCAGCAGGGTCTCTTAGCTACTTTTCGTTTGTTAACTGCCGGTTCTGCACCACTTGGTGGTGAATTGATGTACGACAAGCTAAATGTTGTGAGAACCCTTTCGGAGCGAGTGAACAGTGCGGAGGCACTAAATAGATCGTCGGTGCTACAGAGTTTGTGCGCTGTGCTAAGATTCTTCAGACTCAGGCTGGAGTTGGAAGTAGAACAGAGCATTTATGTGTTCCTACTCTTGTGCCATAATGATCCATTGTTTAAACCTAAAACCTTAACAAATAGATCATTAGGTCTGAGGAGAATGGCGCTCTGGGAAGTTAGCAGGGGATTTGGCCGACACTCACCACTCAAGGGAAAGGTGAGACGGATATACAATCAGACAGTTACTGGTACCATCAGAATTAGAACTCTTTGCTTACTGCTGAAGATGGGGATGGAGCGCTTATGGGAGTGTTCCGAGCACTGTGATGTTGATTCTTAATTCAACATTCACTTCCTAACTGTAAATTTCCTTCAATTTTCATTTTCCTGCAGAATTTTTTTAAGAAGAAAACCCCCTAAATGCTATCTTAGTCAATTTAGTCAATCCCTGTCACAACCAACACTGGTGCAGATGCAATGAATTCTGTTAGATGGACCTCTCGTAAATGTCTTTATAGCGAATTGGGAAACGGCTTTTAATTGAAAATTGGACCAACCACAAGTGTCAGTTTTGTGGCTTCTTTGGTTGAAAACGATAAAATAGTGGTTGGCACATTGTGATGTAGTAATTAGTCTGTGATATCTGTGCCTTTCAGCCCAAAAAATCAAATTTCAGTAAATCACTTATTTGTCGCCTTTTACAACATACATGTTGACCGGGGGGGGGGGGGGGGACAGTGGGTCTATTCCCCCCCCCCCCCCCCTCCTAAAAACGGGATCCTGGAACCCACATAGAAAAATGTCTTAATAAAATAAAGACCCTTTTTAACCCTTATATCACAAGGACTATGACACTCACTATGCAACTGCGTGCAAAATATGAGCTTGCCAGTTTGAAAATCTCAAACCAGACTTTGAAAACATATCACAAACAGATAAAATGATCAAACATTTTTTTCCTTCTGCCATTGCCTCTAAGGAGTTTGTGCTCATACCATGTCGATATCAACGCAAATCTGTATGCTGCCAAACAGCATGAAGCTGAATTAAATAAACCTGGCATGTCAGAATTATAAAACTGTGTTAAGCAAGAGATGCCAACACAGTGTAATCTGCATACATTTTACTAAATGGCAAAGTGGAAGAAGAAAAAAAAACAGACATACATCTCTTATGTCCAGATTTGAAGCATCCGAGACTTTCAACCATTTTTTGAGGTAGTGTTTTCTAATGGACGGCTCTGCCTGGAATATGGCCAATGGGATGGCCCTCTCTGTGACAGGTGCTCCCTCTGGTTTCTTAGAAATGACGAACCTGCAAGACAGGCCTGTGTCCTTAACCATCTGGTCTCCGAGGAACTGTGGAGCGATGAAATATAAAAAAATAAGAGCTTGGAACTCAAAGGCAAGCATTCTAAATTTTTAAAATATGGAAGTAAAGGGTCTACAAGGTGTGGATTGTATCTGGTCCTGTAGCTAAAAAAAAAAATATTTAAGTCCAAAGAAGTTAAATAATGCATATCAGGAGCAGTAAAACAAACTATTTAGATTAATGAGTTAATATAACCAAAAAAGTGTGATAAAAGAAGAGCCAGAAATGTGTGCTGTCTCTGGGCTAACTTTCGTAGGTAGAAGAAGTTGCACGGTATAAAAAGAGTTAATCTTCTTTTTTTCTTCGCATTCACCAGCTGTAAACTCTGGCGAAAACTTTTAGGCATTTCTCCACTTCCGGACATCAGTCAAGAATCCGATAGTTGCATGCACATCCGTTTCACAGATCTCGCTCATTTTTATGCTGAATGTTGGTTCCTTGCCTCTCTGGCTGATGTACGCCAACTTTGAATGATACCCCCAATTAGTTGACTCCAATAACATGCTTATTTGGGAGGCTGTGGGTCTATTCTTGTTTCTCTCCCCCCCCCCCCCCCATAATGGGGCCTGGAACCCACACAAGCAGAAATAGTTAATCAAAATGTGTCATCATCATCATGTGGCAGGTTCTTTGCAGAACATCACTCTCATCACGGTCTGCCTAAAAGAAACAGTCTCTCGTCAGCTCTTCCGCCTCATGTTCTTTCATACTCAACGAGTCACTTATATCCTGTGCCCATCTTCGTGTTGGTCGGCCCCTGCCCCTCCTTCCTGGTACCAAGCCTTCTGCTGTAATTTTTTTCCAATATCAAAATGTATAGGAACAAGTAAAGACTCAGGAACTCATCCAAACATTAGAAATAGGCAGCCTTCAATATTTGTCTTTAGTGGTGAGGGTGTGGCTGGACAAAGGAAAAGTTGAAACATGGGACAATAAAAAATACTTTAGAAAACAAAGACAGAGGAAGACAGGCAGGGAAAACCCTTTATGACTTTTAGTCAAGATCTTTTTCTGTTTAGTTTTCACTGGCTGCAAACTCTGGCAAAAAGTTCTGGTTGCTTGTCCACTTCTGGACTTTAGTCTTCTTCCATAACTTGAGTTTTATGTGCCCATCCCATTTTGCCAATCTGTTTATTATTCTTCTTCTTCTTCTTATTTTTCTTCTTCAGCATTCCGAGCCCTTGAGGTTTATTGCTGTAGATATCACCCGCCTCCATTCATCTCTCTGGTTGGCCCTCTCTTTCCAGTTGGTGACACCAAGTCTTTGCAGGTCTGTCTGGATATTATCTCTCCATTGTCTTCTTGGTCTGCCTCGTGGGAGGGAGGGAGGGAGGGAGAGAGAGAGAGAGGGAGGGAGGGAGGGAGGGAGAGAGAGAGAGAGAGAGAGAGAGAGAGAGAGAGAGAGAGAGAGAGGGAGAGGGAGGGAGAGAGAGAGAGAGAGAGAGAGAGAGAGAGAGAGAGAGAGAGAGAGAGAGAGAGAGAGAGAGAGAGAGAGAGAGAGAGAGAGAGAGAGAGAGAGAGAGAGAGAGAGAGAGAGAGAGAGAGAGAGAAACTGGTCAAGATAAACGATTTCAGAACATAAACGCTGATGCCAATGGAGGTCACCAGGTGTAGACAAACAAGAATACCCAAGTAAATTGGCAATGCCTTTGATCGCACGTATATGTGAGTGTTTATGTGATATAGGAAGGAAAAAAAAAAACTTTTTTTATATTCTTGCTAAGAAAAAGCAAAACACCACACCTCTGCAAGTCGCTTTGCAGTGCTGATGGAGGTAGACTTCTGATTTCCATAGTCATCGAGTTTACGAGACATACTTCGGTTCTCAGCGATCAGCTCAAACAGTTCTGAGTCTGGCATGTTAGCCGCCTGTTGAGATACAAGAGTTAACAAATGTTTACTTATTAGAGCCTAAAAACTTATACACTAGAAGCTCCTTATGATTTCTAGGTTGATTTGGAATAGTGGAAAAGCACTGGCATAGCAATAATGTATTTTTCATTCATTTCTCTGCCTATAAGGGATTTATCTACACCAACTTTGTAGCTGCTGAGTCAATTCAGCACTGTAAAAATATTTATTCTTTGCTGTCTTCACAATGAAGGTCGGTTACAGTGCAACCATTGATGCCTTTGGGAATACTATGCAGTGAGGCCCCAATCTCTCTTGTACTAATGTCTGGAAACCACGAAAGTTTTTCAAACTGTCCACCACATAAATCAAACCCTGGTACTCATGGATCGTGAAACTGTTAAATACATTCACTAAACTCTCAGCCATATTGTCGCAGGCACACACACAAAACTAGTAATATACACTTTACAGTGAAGAAAGTTACAGAAGAATGCAGCATGACACTGGAATGTATACCTCATGAACTGATGAAAACAGGGCACATCTGGATATCTCCTGAGTGTAAAAATTTTACCACTGGATCACAAACTCTGGCTAAATACTCACACTGTATCAAAAACATATGTACAACACTACTATGTCCTTATCTTCTTCTTCTTTCTTCTTCACGTTCACCAGCTGTAAACTTTGTTGGGAAGTTCTGGTTGGTCGTCCACTTCTGGATTGCAGAACCTGAGTTTTGCGTGTGCGTCCGTTTGACAGATCTGACATATTTGTGTGCAGAATGTTGGTTTGTTGTCTCTCAGGCAGATGCACTCCCACTTTGAACCTACACAGGGGACTATGTCCTTATCAGTAATATATCTTTAAATGTAATACAACTTTTTAAATAAAAAAACCCAAGAAGTATACTTTGGATCTGTAAACAATATGATGTTCAGATTTTATAAACAATAACAATCCCCAGACTTTATAAACAACAGCAATTCCTTAGAAACAGCAACAATACTCCATTATAAACAAAATAATACCCAGACTTTATTAAACAGCAGCAATTCCTTAGAAACAGCAACAATATTCCATTATAAACAAAATAATACCCAGACTTTATAAACAACAGCAATTCCTTAGAAACAGCAACAATACTGCATTATAAACAAAACAATACCCAGACTTTATAAACTAGCAATACTAAGATATTAAAAACAATAACAATGCTCAGACCAATAAACAATAACAATACTCAAACATTATAAATAATAACAATGCTCAAATTGTATAAACTAACAACACAGACATTCAAAACAATAACAATGCTCAAACTTTGTAAACAATTACAATGCTCCCTCTATAAACAGTAACAATATTCACAGGTCATAATCAATAACAATGCTGACCCTTCAGAAACAACAATGCTCAAACTGTGCAAACAACAACGATGCTCCATCATAGTAAACAATAACAATGTTCAACCTTTTAAACAACAATGCTGAAAACTTTGTAAACAATAACAAAGCTCACCCTTTACCAACTGCAACAACAATCACTCTGGAAACAATAACAATATTCACACTTCAGAAACAATAACAATACTCCGACTTCATAAACAATGACAATATCAACATGTTATAAACAATCACAATGCTCACTTTATAAGCAATAACAATACTCAGTCTTCCTTCGAAGTACAGCTGCCCATGAGGCAGGGAACATTAAAACGGTTGTACACGCAAAAAATCAGGTCCGGGTGAAAGCCAAAAGTCCAAGCGGACGATTAACCGTGACCTTCCGCCGGAATTCACAGCTGGTGAACGCAAAAAAAAAAAAAAAAAAAATACTCAGTCTACAAAAACCAGCCCAACATGTACACTTTATATACAACAATATTCACTCACAACAAGGCACAACAACACTCCAAAACTCGGCCACGCAACGTTACCTTGCTGTAGAGAACATCCAGCCAGTAGTCAGCCACTTTTGCTACAGAGCTGTAGCATTCTTCCAGTGAGCTCCCCTTGAGGAAGGCCTCGAACACAGATGACTGAAATATTTTGATCAGTTCCAGCTCTCCTCTACGCTTCACTTCAAAGCCCTGTAAGTAGAACAGTGGAACCATGTGTCAGTATCCAATACTGTCAGCATGTGGCTTAGAGGTTGTGAGAGTAGTTTCATAATCACACACGTATCAGGTTTCAAAGACAGCTGCCACTGACAGCTGAATGTGTTGCAGTGATAACAAGAGTGTGAAGCCATTCAAAAAGCAAAGGCAAAATACTGAGTGTAAAACTGTCTAGTAAAACTGTCTAGTAAAACTGTCTAGTAAAACTGTCTAGTAAAACTAGACAGCAGCGATCAGAACTGGAATTGCCCCGCTCTGGAGTCGGTTCTGAAATCAATCACATACCAGCCACGCGGTATACTGATGCTATTGGGTGCACTTCCATGTCAAAATTATTTAGAGCTAGAAAGATAAACAAACAACACATTACCATTGAGAATCGTCAAACGTTTTGTATACTTAACCCTGCTTTAGCATAGCAAAAGCGAATAAACATCGCTTAGTGAAACAAAGCCTTGCATATTAGGTTTAGACGACGGATCAACATCATGGCACAAGGGTTAACCCATAAGTGTTCCGTTCTACTTCTGACTCAAGCCTGAGTCAGATGCATCTCAGCGCTGTGCACGAACACTTGCACCGGCGAGGATAAAATAATGAATGGATTTGGAGGCAGTCTCTGCTGCCTTCCGCTGGCTTGAGAATCAGCTGTACACACATGCCGTGATTCCGACTGACTTACAAAACATGTTGAGAAAGGTGGAGACAGGCATGCTCTGTGCAGAGTGGCATGCACCAATTCATAGGCCCCTGGTAGTTAGCATCCTTTGGATATTTTCTCCAGGTCATGCTGGTGTGTTGGGAAATGAGCAGGCAGTAGACTGGCCAGCTCTGCACCACTTGGTGATGAACTGATGTATGAGAAGCTAGATATTGTGAGAGCCTTTTGGGAGCGAGTGAACAGTGCGGAGGCACAGATAGATCATTACGGTCTGAGGAGAATGGTGCTGCGAGGAGTTACCAGGATATCTGGCAGAAGCTAAACACTCAGGGGAAGGGCGAGACAGATATATAATCAGAAAGTTACTGGTTCCATCAGAATTGGACATCTGCGCATGCTGCTGAAGATGGGGATGGAGCGCTTATGGGAGTGTCCCGAGTGCAGTGATGTCGATTGTTATTTCAACACTCAACCCTGCTTTATGGTGCAGAAACTGAAAAAAAAAATGAACGAGCATCTAGTCTATGGAAATGTGGATATACCGAAGATGGCTGTATTTCAGGGAAACAAGAATAATCAAATGCAGAGGTTCTAGAAAGACTGCAAATGAAGAGTTACTGAAAGAAGAGAGTTACTGAATAAAGAGAGTTACTGAAAGAAGAGTTGCTGAAAGAGGAGAATTACTGAAAGAAGATAGTTACTGAAAGAAGAGAGTTACTGAATGAAGAGAGTTACTGAAAGAAGAGAGTTGCCGAAAAAAGAGAGTTACTGAAAGAAGAGAGTTGCCGAAAAAAGAGAGTTACTGAAAGAAGAGAGTTACTGAAAGAAGAGAGTTACTGAAAGAAGAGAGTTACTGAAAGAAGAGAGTTACTGAAAGAACAATTTTTGAAAGAACAGAGTTACTGAAAGAAATCAAAAAGACAACTGAAATATTTCGGTCACTTTAAAATACACAACATGTTTTTTTAAACCAAACTGCAGGGAAATGTCAAAGGGAAGACAGCAAGAGGTAGACAATGATACAATTGAGAGGACAACATCAAAAGATCGTCAAACAGCAGTCTAAGAGAGTATACACCCAAGACATGAAACAGAGCATGTTGGAGATCCATTGCAGGCAGGACTGATTGTGGAGCTGTAACTTCCCTGCAAAGACAGTGGGCCGGGTTTAGCATCCAGCAGAAGCAGATATTACTTTTCTGATTGGTGCGCCGTTGGAACTCCCCAAAAAAATGAGATCCAGAAAAACTGTCAGAGTATATGACTAGAAAAAATTTATGGACGGGGGAAAAAACAATTTTTTTTTAATGCATGGAAGGGTGTCAGCATACTAACGAATGCATGCTGTGGCAAACTGCAAGTTGTAAAGATTTATGATCACGCACGCCACTCAACAAAGCACTTGATAGTGACGCCTGGTCTGAATTTGAGAGATCATGAGGGCAAATCAAATTTTAAAAAAAACAACAATAACATTCTAGAACATACTTTGAGTTCAGCCAATGAGCCATCGAAATTGAAGACAGCATATCGCTTTTTCAGCTTCTTGCCCTCTTCCTTGGACGCTGGCAGAATCATGGCCTGATACGGCCCATCCACCTCAAAGAAGATAGAGTTCTCATTTCGTGTAGTGTAAGTCAGTGTGGCTGGATCGGTCAGCTCTTGGTACTGGTCATTGGTGAAGTAATCCTGTGCAACAACATAATGATGAACATTACAACTACTGAAATCATAGAACAAATGAGGGTATAAAGGGGTGAAGTGGCCTATGCCAGTTAACGAGGCACATGATGGTGATGATGGCAACAATGAGCTATAAGAAACAAAACTTGTTTGCAGTCATGTTAGGAACAGTTTATAATGACTCAAAATCAAACACTTACACTGTCAAAATAGTGGTATAATCAATACAAGTGTTTTCTTTTGTGTTTTCAAAAAGGAATAAAGTGTTATCATTGGATAAATTCTGCAGACAGAAATTGTTCTAGGACAGTCCCAGCAAAGCCATAAGAGGATTTAATAGTTCAAACACACATGTTCAAGATTAGAAGAGCCGAAACTGCAACTAACTTCTCTTTGCAACGCTATAGGCAGTGGCTCTTAACCTTCCTAATGCGGCGACCCTTTAATACAGTTCCTGATGTTGTGGCGACCCTTTAATAACATTTCCTCATGTTGTGGCCACCCTTTAATAACATTTCCTCATGTTGTGGCCACCCTTTAATAACATTTCCTCATGTTGTGGCCACCCTTTAATACATTTCTTATGTTGTGGCTACCCTTTAATACATTTCCTGATGTTGTGGCCACCCTTTAATAACATTTCCTCATGTTGTGGCCACCCTTTAATAACATTTCCTCATGTTGTGGCCACCCTTTAATAACATCTCCTCATGTTGTGGCGACACCCAACCATACAATTATTTTCGCTGATACTTCATATGTGTTTTCTGATGATCTTTGGGGCCCACTTTGAAAGGGTCATTCGAACCACAAAAGGGTAGCGGCCCAGAGGTTAAGAACCGCTGTTTTATGGCATAAGCCGTAGGACAAAAGAAGAAGAATACTTAATTCCCTACCTAGCCCGGACTTCAGGGTTACAGTGTAAATACCAGGGGCCTCAAATAACAATTTTGGGGTTGAACAGGGATCGTTGGATTTGTACCTCTTTGATTCTCATCCTTGAGGTTTTCATTCTACAGACTGCAATCCTAGAGGTGACTGTGAACACACATGATGTCCACAGCCACGCAGCAGGAACTTCTTCTCTTTCTAAGCATTCTTCAGCAGCAAACTCCTGCCAAAATTTCTGGTTGTCCATCCAATTCTGGACTTTGTTCATTTTTTCAGAACTTGGGTTTTGTGTGCAGATCCATTTTAAAGATCTGGCTTATTTGTATGCACTGTATTTGTATTCCACTGGCAGGACAACAACTTGGCTACATCTGGATATGTCAGTTAAGTGATGTGTATTTTGTCTGGTTTTGTTTATGTGTGTCCTGATGAAGGCTCTGTAGCCGCAACGTTCACTTTTCATTTGTGTTTGTTATACTGTGAATCTTGCCAATCTACTTTTTTTTTTTTCGATTTTATTTCTTTTCATGATACTTTTTGTATGCACACTGAAAAGTAACATGACAGAAGGCTGTGAACAGGCAAGACAACCAATGCTACACATCGTGGACTACAAAAAGTATCCAGAAGCTTACCTTCACCATGACATTCAACATGGCGCCGGGGTAGGAGATGGTGACCTTTGCTTTTTTAGGGTTGTCGGTTTTGATAGTGTAGTTCTCAGGGAAGCTGGCTGGCAGTACACACCATATGCCATCTGTGTCCAGCTCCAGTGGCCGCCTGCAGATGACCTCATTTGTCTTTACTGATAAACAGTATGGCTACACGTATTTCATTTAAATATTAACATGTGTACAGATATGGCTTAGTTGTGTCTCATACAGATATAGTCCGACTGTGGAGAAATGAAGGTTTTTAAGACATGCTTGTTTAGGGCTTCCCCCACCCACCGGGTCCCTGGAACCCACACAGGGAGTATCACTGCATCATTGCTCTCAATTAGGTTCATGTACTTGGCATAATTACTTATAAAATCTTGATCTCAACGAAGATAAAATATTTATGTAACAAGTATAGATATGTTCACATAACAATTACACGAGCAATGGGGCTATGTACTTCTTCTTATATACAGTCTTATATACATAACATGCATTACTGATAACAGGCTTGGTACTCTGAAAGATGAGCGCGTAAAAGGGCCGAATGTCAGAAGGGCCTGCATGCCCAATTTGTAACCCTTTGAAAATAAAGTTTGTTCGTTCGTTCTTCTTTTTCTTGTGTTTGCACTTAGCCCGGTTGCTCCTAGAATGCTACAAAAACAAAAAAGGTCATGGCCCCTTGGGACATGCCAAAAAAATCCTTTAAAAACAATTTGTTTACAGGCCACTAATATATATTTTTTCTTTACATTTTATCAGCTGTTATTTTTTTTTTTAAATAATTTGTCCCCAACTATATAAAGATACATACATAAAGGGGATAATCAATAAACCTGAATAGTATGATACATTAAATGAAATACATTCTGTGGTGGTCTTACAAAAATGCATCTGGTGACTCATGCCATTAACCCTTGACCTCTATCACTGAGACGTGGGGGAAAATGTAACATCAACTTGACAGCCTTTAATGCTACTTTAGTTAATCTATTCATATCTTGCCCTCCTATGCATTTGCGCAAGCGTAAAATCAGTCAACAGCATTAACTACGCATCTCATATCACTGTAGACAAGTCAGGAAATGTACATTTACGTAGAACTGGACGTAACCAGATGTGTTGTTTTGCGGTTTTACAAGGCAACAGAGTTGTGTTTAAAGCTAGACTGTATTATTTGTGCCTTTAGCCACAACACATCCAATTTCAACAAAACCATAATTAGTCAACATGTCAAGAAGCTTGCCAGTTAGAACTTCTGCAACCAAACTTTAAAAACACCACACAAAAAGTCAAAATATTCTTACCCAATCTGCTCCACAATTTCTCGAGCTTTGGTGATGATGTTTGCTCCAGTGTAACACACAATTCCTGCCATCTCCATGCTGTACCACCGAGCCCTAAAAGTGATCAAGCGGACAAATTCACTCAACAAGTCTTTTACTTCTACTGTAAATTATTCAAATCATTTATTCTTTTTCTTCTATTTCTTTATTTGTTCAGACAATGAAACTGATTCTGTATGAAAATGGATAGGATTATCAATTATGTGTGCAGAATTCATGAGGTGGACAAGTTTGCAGAATTTTTATTCTTATTTTTCTTCATGTGGGTTGGGGGGGGGGGGGGGGGGGGGGGACCAGAAATATACCCACTGCCTATCCAAACAAGCATGTCGTAAGCAAGAGGCGACAATTGGTGGGGGGTAGAGGGGGGGGGGGGGGGGGTTGATTCAAGGAACCAGCAGTATGCATACAAATAAACAAGATCTGTAAAATGAATGCAAGCTGAAGTCCAGAAATGGACAAAACAACCAGGTCTTTCCGCCGGAGTTTACAACTGGTGAGTGAACACAACAACTCAAGCCATCTGAGAAGCGCAAGACAACCAGGTAACAGTGTGGTGACAGAAGAATATCACCGACAGTACAACTTTTGGAGAGCTGCTTGAGAGCTGGAGTTTTACTCACCCTTTCCTCATGACGTAGCCATAGAAGGAGTTGAGAATACACTTGTGGGCCAGCTGCAGGGAGTCATACAGCACCAACAAACCGTTGGCTCGTTTGATTTCTGCTGCATCATTTTTCTTCTCTGCCTCGCCAAGCTTGTTCTTCCACACCTTTGTCAAGCCTGCAAACCATTTTTTTAAGTGTATACAATTATGTTAGTTATGGACAATTACGTGCATGTCATGACTCATCTCAGCCACAGATTTCATTATTAAATGTAGATATAGTTATGCATCATTTTGATACGTTTATTTTGCTTTACATTTTCATCCGTAACTAAGGACACCACCGTGACCGACAAAACCAGCCTGAATTTACCGTTATTGAGAAATTATTTTTTCGTGCTCTTTACGTGAAAGATCAAATCGGAACAATTATTAGGAGTTATTGGAGAGATGCTAGGCTTTGATCTGAGATAGTTTTGATGCGTATACAATAAATCGATATTTTTATTGCAGCACGCAGTGAATTAACGGTAAGTAATTTTGTAAATATCTTCTTAATTAGTCAGATTAATGTAATTTGTGGTGTATTTTTGAATTCTGCGTTAATTTTTTTATAAGTATGGGAAATTTCACAAAGATTGGCTGAGAGCAAATGTTTAACAAAAAATGTTTTAGTGGCATCACTGTTTTTGCTTCAAATCCAATATGTCTGCACTAGAAGACCATTTGTCCCGCTTCATAATTAACTTAAAATAATTATTAAATTAGCTGCGGTTATTTTGATTTTTTTTTTTTAAATCCACAACCATTGTAACATTTGTTCATGCATCGGTCATTATTTAGAGCTCTAAGAAGAAAATGGATCCAATATTTCTATTAGAGTTATTTTTCCTGATCACCCCTAAATCCCAATAATTAATTTCAGCCATCATTGCGCATTTTCTGAGATGATTCTTTAGTAATTAACTTAAGATACTTAGTAAATTAATAATGTAAGTGAGCTACTTTTTAAACATCTACAACTCATGTAGCATTTTTGTTATGCGTCTGTCATTATTTAGAGTTCGTGAAATTTTCTGTCAGAATTGATAAATCTAAGTGGTCAAGAAACAACAGCAGCGTTGACTGCGTTCCCGTCCATCAGGCCTGCCAGTACTTGGGATTTCCCCTAAGATCTGGGTTTTTATATGACGCCTTAGGTTGAGATTTTGGAATCTTTTTTTTTTTTTTTTTTTTTTATATACCTTTATATAAAAGTGGGTAAATGTTTCATTTCGTAACTATAAAATATGTATTTTTTTTTTTTTTTGGCTTATGTATTGCTTGGGTTTTTGGTCAGCTTAGCTTGTGTTTTGAGGAAAATCCCATTGGCAAACCTCCCATGCTTGGCTGTCTGCGTGTGGCTGCTATAGATCCATTTCTTACATTCAATGCTGGGTGGACATGGGAGCCAAGGTCATTTTTGAAAGAAAAAATAAATCCGGCCTGACCTGATTCCCAGAAATAACCACACCTGTTTTTGTTTTGCCCTGTTGTTTACACTGTCACTGCCCCATTATGAAAACCGGCCATGTACTACCAGTGGGCTCATGTTTTCTTCTACCTTACAGGCCATGTATTACCAGTGGGCTCATGTTTTCTTCTACCTTACAGGTCATGTACTACCAGCTCATGTTTTCTTCTACCTTACAGGCCATGTACTACCAGTGGGCTCATGTTTCTTCTCTACCTTACAGGCCATGTACTACCAGTGGGCTCATGTTTTTCTCTACCTTACAGGTCATGTACTACCAGTGGGCTCATGTTTTCTTTCTACCTTACAGGTCATGTACTACCAGCTCATGTTTTCTTCTACCTTACAGGCCATGTACTACCAGTGGGCTCAGTGGTTTTCTTCTACCTTACAGGTCATGTACTACCAGTGGGCTCATGTTTTCCTTCTTTCTTCTACATTACAGGGCATGTACTACCAGTGGGCAGCCATGTTTTCTTCTACCTTACAGGTCATGTACTACCAGTGGGCTCATGTTTTCTTCTACCTTACAGGTCATGTACTACCAGTATAACCAGGGCTCATGTTTTCTTCTACCTTACAGGCCATGTACTACCAGTGGGCTCATGTTTTCTTCTACCTTACAGGTCATGTACTACCAGTGGGCTCATGTTTTCTTCTACCTTACAGGCCATGTACTACCAGTGGGCTCATGTTTTCTTCTACCATTACTACAGGGCTCATGTTTTCTTTCTACCTACAGGTGGGCTACAGTGGGCTCATGTTTTCTTCTACCTTACAGGCCATGTACTACCAGTGGGCTCATCATGTTTCTTCTACCTTACAGGCCATGTACTACAGTGGGCTCATGTTTTCTTCTACCTTACAGGTCATGTAATACCAGTGGCTCATGTTTTCTTCTACCCTTACAGTTTTCTCACCATGTTACTACCAGTGGGCTCATGTTTTTTCTACCTTACAGGCCATGTACTACCAGCTCTAATGTTTTCTTCTACCTTACAGGTCATGTACTACCAGTGGGCTCATGTTTTTTACAGGCCTTCTACCTTACAGTTCACTGGCCATGTTTACTACCAGTGGGCTCATGTTTCTTCTACCTTACAGGCCATGTACTACCAGTACAGGGGCTCATGTTTTCTTCTACCTTACACGCCATGTACTACCAGTGGGCTCATGTTTTCTTCTACCTTACAGGCCATGTACTACCAGTGGGCTCATGTCTTTACCTCATGTTCTACCAGTGGGCTCATGTTTTCTTCCTTACAGGCCATGTACTACAGTGGGCTCATGTTTTTCTTCTACCTTACACGCCATGTACTACCAGTGGGCTCATGTTTGCTTCTTTACCTTACAGCCATGTACTACCAGTGGGCTCATGTTTTCTTCTACCTTACAGGCCATGTACTACCAGTGGGCTCATGTTTTCTTTTACCTACCATGTACTACCAGTGGGCTCATGTTTTCTTCTACCTTACAGGTCATGTACTACCAGTGGGCTCATGTTTTCTTTCTACAGGCCATTACACCAGTGGGCCATGTTTTCTACTATCCTTACCAGTGGGCTCATGTTTTCTTCTACCTTACAGGCCATGTACTACCAGTGGGCTCATGTTTTCTTCTAGGCCTTACAGGTCATGTACTACCAGTGGGCTCATGTTTTCTTCTACCTTACAGGCCATGTACTACCAGTGGGCTCATGTTTTCTTCTACCTTACAGGCCATGTACTACCAGTGGGCTCATGTTTTCTTCTACCTTACAGGCCATGTACTACCAGTGGGCTCATGTTTTCTTCTACCTTTACAGGCCATGTACTACCAGTGGGCTCATGTTTTCTTCTACCTTACAGGCCATGTTACTACCAGTGGGCTCATGTTTCTTCTACCTTACAGGTCATGTACTACCAGTGGGCTCATGTTTTCTTCTACCTTACAGGTCATGTACTACCAGTGGGCTCATGTTTTCTTCTACCTTACAGGCCATGTACTACCAGTGGGCTCATGTTTTCTTCTACCTTACAGGTCATGTACTACCAGTGGGCTCATGTTTTCTTCTACCTTACAGGCCATGTACTACCAGTGGGCTCATGTTTTCTTCTACCTTACAGGTCATGTACTACCAGTGGGCTCATGTTTTCTTCTACCTTACAGGTCATGTACTACCAGTGGGCTCATGTTTTCTTCTACCTTACAGGTCATGTACTACCAGTGGGCTCATGTTTTCTTCTACCTTACAGGCCATGTACTACCAGTGGGCTCATGTTTTCTTCTACCTTACAGGCCATGTACTACCAGTGGGCTCATGTTTTTCTTCTACCTTACAGGCCATGTACTACCAGTGGGCTCATGTTTTCTTCTTACAGGCCACCTTACAGTGGGTCATGTACTACCAGTGGGCTCATGTTTTCTTCTACCTTACAGGTCATGTACTACCAGTGGGCTCATGTTTTCTTCTACCTTACAGGCCATGTACTACCAGTGGGCTCATGTTTTCTTCTACCTACACCATGTACTACCAGTGGGCTCATGTACAGGTCATGTACTACCAGTGGGCTCATGTTTTCTTCTACCTTACAGGTCATGTACTACCAGTGGGCTCATGTTTTCTTCTACCTTACAGGCCATGTACTACCAGTGGGCTCATGTTTTCTTCTACCTTACAGGTCATGTACTACCAGTGGGCTCATGTTTTCTTCTACCTTACAGGCCATGTACTACCAGTGGGCTCATGTTTTCTTCTACCTTACAGGCCATGTACTACCAGTGGGCTCATGTTTTCTTCTACCTTATAGGCCATGTACTACCAGTGGGCTCATGTTTTCTTCTACCTTACAGGCCATGTACTACCAGTGGGCTCATGTTTTCTTCTACCTTACAGGCCATGTACTACCAGTGGGCTCATGTTTTCTTCTACCTTACAGGCCATGTACTACCAGTGGGCTCATGTTTTCTTCTACCTTACAGGCCATGTACTACCAGTGGGCTCATGTTTTCTTCTACCTTACAGGTCATGTACTACCAGTGGGCTCATGTTTTCTTCTACCTTACAGGCCATGTACTACCAGTGGGCTCATGTTTTCTTACCTTACCTTACAGGCCATGTACTACCCAGTGGGCTCATGTTTTCTTCTACCTTACAGGCCATGTACTACCAGTGGGCTCATGTTTTCTTCTACCTTACAGGCCATGTACTACCAGTGGGCTCATGTTTTCTTCTACCTTACAGGCCATGTACTACCAGTGGGCTCATGTTTTCTTCTACCTTACAGGCCATGTACTACCAGTGGGCTCATGTTTTCTTCTACCTTACAGAACGGAGAGTTGGGGAGGGGGTGGGGGGGGGGGGTGTGGTAGAATATTGAGAGGAAGAGGGGGAGCAGGAGGAGGAAAGAGGAAGAAAAAAAAAAGAGACTAAGAAAATAAAGTCGGCACCGAGACATGGGGATAAAGAAATGAAAGGAGAAAGCCAACCAGACCCTCTGCCTACGTCCCACTGAGTATGATACCAATTCTTTGTCATTACATGATGCCTTGTTCGCACTAGAAGTTTTAAAGTTAACATTTTGTCATCACAAAACAGACTGCTTCTAGCATCCTAACAGAGGAAATGGAGATGTCGTTTCCCAGAAGACTTGGAGAAACACCACAGACAGACAAGTAGAAGTCAAGCAAAGCATCACAGGTATTTCAGGTATATGATGCTATATTAATAATTTTATAAAGCTTCCTTCTGAGTGATATGGTCAGTATCACGCCAGCCACCTTTACTTCCCAGGAAGGAAATGAGCTGGTACCCATTTTAAGCTAGGTCAACCATGGTCTAACGTCAGGTCTGAAAAAAATCTGACTAGGCGGATTTGAACCCAAGACCTTTGGCCCAGCAGGCGAGCATCTAGTCACTTGGCTACCATAGCTCCCCTCAGATAAAAAGTGCAACAGATCATTCACTCAATCATAACCACTCATGTGTAACTTGCAATTTTAACCTACGAAATGTAGAAACAGCAAACAAGTACCTTTAAACTCATATCTCCTGTCTCAGTTTAGAGAACCTTGTTTTTTAAACTAGGAGTCGACTTATATGGCGGGTATAAACTGCAACTCTTTATACCTAACTGTAAATAAGTGGGACAGCACTTATAACACTGTGCACAATTTACCGTACCTCCAGCAGGCAGCCACTGGCCACAAATGTATCCCAATAAAACTGGAGCTTGGTAACACATCTGGCACATAAAAACACTGACAGGCGACCTTGTCTGCAGACTGAGCTATAAGATCTGAGCTTAACATCTGGAAGTTGACTTGTTCACCAAGCTGACTTATACACCGAGCTGACTTGTACACCAAGCTGACTTGTACACTGAGCGGACTTGCACACCAAGCTTACTTGGACACAGAGCTTACTTGTACACTAATTTTATTTGTACACCAAGTTGATTTGTATGCCACAATTTGGGGCAAGTAAAATAATCTTTAACCAATCTATAAGATGTGTTGATTATGTGCTAGCTTTGCATTTTTGCGGCGTCCGTAGCTAAGGCGTTGCGAGTCCGACTCGTAATCCAACGTACCGCGATCGAAACCCGATGCGTGGATTTTTATCGTGGTATGGGACGTCGTAGGTCGACCCAGCCTCAAAGAGGTACCAGGATGGGCTGTCCTGGGAAAGTAAAGACAGCCGGCGTAATGCTGACCACATTACCCACCGAGTGCTGATGGTCTGTAAAAATATGGGCGCTCTTCCCATATGCCCGATACGCCTAAAGGCGTGAAAGGGATCTTTACTTTTTTTTTTTTTTTTTTTTTTTTTTTTTTTTGCATTTTTAGAGATCAACTGAGATTCAATGTGTGATGTGGACAATATTAAGCTGGCCATTTTTATTTCAACAGCAGAAAATGGAGAGTGAGAGGCAATGAAGAAATGTATAATTTGTTCAAATCACCACCAATTACTGACATCATGAGAGCTAGCTAATAGACTGTGATGGTTGCAGCAAACAGAGAAAATGGCAGACAGCTGAAAGACAAAAACTGCAAACACAAATGAGTTGAATGGAAGTAGATTCTAAAATGGACCAAGATGGTGACATCATTGATCATCAATGTCATCAGCCCTGCTGACTGGCACAGACGTTCATGCATCTCGGCAGATCTCGGTCCCTTGTCCTCTGGATTAGTTACACCGATGATATCCCTCCGTGCCACCATTGCAGTCCACCAATCATCATCTCTCTCGGTCTGCCTTTCACTCTTCTACCACTGATTTTCCCTGTCGTCACAATATTCTCAAAAGCCTACCCTCTCATCACATGACTAAAGAACAGTGACAGTCTTTTCCTTAGAGCTGTATATATTGATCTGCTTTCATTAGCTTTTTTTTTTCAAGCAATATCGTTAGTTACTCTGGCAGTTCAAGGGATTCTTAACATTCGTCTGAAAAGTCACACATCCGTCGGCTCCAAGTTCTTTCCAATTAAAAAGATGCATTGTCTCCAAAATGAAGGTTGGCTACAGTGTACCCCTGCTGTCTTTAGGAATATTACGTAGCGAGGCCCCAATCTCTTCCACAGTGCAACTCTCGTACCATTGTGGGAAAACCACAAAAATAATTTTTTTTAATAACCATCCACCACAAGTGATCACTAGTACTCGAGGATAATGCAATTGTTAACCATCTTTGTTCTCTAATCTCTAAGCCACATATACCCCCCCCCCCCCCCCCCCCCCCCCCCCCCCCATCAACGGAATAACAAACAAATTATAAAAACCTGCAAGCCTCTTTTTCTCCAATGCTGCTTGCTCCTCTTTTGGCAGTTGGTGAAAAGCCCTGGGCGGACCATCTGGAAACAAGGGAGGGAACTTCTCATTCTCCAGCTGCTGTTGTATGCGGTAAAATTCATTTCTTGTGGCTGGCACTGAAGAAGAATAAAATGTGTTTGTTTATCTATATATATATAAGAACTTGTTAGATCAGTAACATCATCATCATCATCATCATCAAAATATACCCTGCCCAGCAGCGTAGGCGCTCGTGTCCTTCCACAGATTTTGGTCCTTGGTGTTTTGAATACATTTTAATATTCCACACCATCATCCCAAGCCGCCAAGCACTGTCTCTCTTGGTCTGCCTCTGCCTGTTTTACCGTTGATCTTTCCAACAGTAATGATATAACAAATTAATCAATGAGGTCAGAAGCGGCTGGTTGGGCACTTAGAACTCTGAGCTCTCATGTGAGAGATAATGGTTCAAATCCTCAGTAAGGTAACGGAGAGTTCTAACCTGCACAAATTATTTACCAGCGTTCTAGCAAGGCGGCCTTAAATCCTCAGACACTAGACCGCCCTAGCTACACCGCCCTATCTACACAGCCCTTAAAAAGTGGTAATTAAGGCAGAAAATAATATATTTTTTTTTAATAACTAATTACTCATCTTCTTTTTTACAATACAGGCCATGTAGCACCGGTCATTGTGTCTGTTAACAGTCTTCTATTTCATTTAATCATTTCTGATACTGATCTTCTTTCGTGCCATGGTACAAAACTATCTTTAGTTTCCCCAGCTTTTCCTCTACTCCAGCTTTCCGTTTGTCACAATTTATGCCAGTTCTCCCCCCTTCTCATAACACGTCCAAAAAATGTGCGCTGCCTTTTTTCTAATGTAGGCAACAGGTCTCTTAGCGACTAAATTTGTTTCCACTATTCATTTTGTCTGCCCCTTGGTTTTCTCATCATACTTCCACAAAACCACACCCCTGCAGCTCACAATCATGTAATAATAATCTGCTGACCGATAGAACGGCTGATCAGGTCCCATTTGGGCCGCCACCTAAAGGTCATACGACCCTAGGATTTTTGTTTAAAATTTGTTCTTTGTTAATATCCTACCCCAGATGACGTCGGTGGTAAGACTGGGTTTCCCGGCTTTCTGATGCTTTACATGACCCCAGAACATCTGGAACTGGCCCTAACCCCAACCCACCTACATCCCACGTGAGAGTGCAGCCTTGGTTCCACAACTGCATGCAGCCTAGGTCAACCAACTGCATGCAGCCTATCAACCACCCCCTGAAATATTAGACTGTCCCATGACCTGTGGATTTACCCTGTTTGGGGTAGGATATTAATAAAGCACCCCAAAAAATGCCAGATCTAAAAGACAGAGCCCAAATAACTTGTTCAACTTAAAAGGAAGTTATAATTATGGTACCTGTAACCACAACACCAGCCAGGGGTAACCTCCAGTCCTAGGAGAGTAACGACGGCTGACTGTTCACAATTTAATTCCATACAATGGGACCGGCTCTATAGGCTCCAAAAACTCTCTTATCTTGATCATCATTATCATCAAGAAGCAGGTCCTTTGCAGAACGCCGCTCTCATTGCAGTCTGCCTGAAAGCAACTCAGTCTCTCACCAGTTCTCCCGCCTCATGTACTTTCATATTCAAGGAGTCACTTATATTATGTGCCCACCTTCGTGTTGGTCGGCCCCTACCCCTCCTTCCTGGTACCACGCCTTCTATTACCAAATAAAAATAATAATAACAATAATGATGTACCGTTCTGATGGTAATTGTAGCCTATCAAACGACTGCTGGGAGTTCAGGTCTGCCCATCACTCCCTTCCCCTTTCCAAATTAAATATGAACACTATGTCAGATTGAGAAGAATACAGCTAATACAGACACTTCTATCAAAAAATATGATAAAATGACAATCAGGCAGACACTTCCATCAAGATAATATGATAAAATGACAATCAGGCAGACACTTCCATCAAGATAATATGATAAAATGACAATCAGGCAGACACTTCCATCAAGATAATATGATAAAATGACAATCAGGCAGACACTTCCATCAAGATAATATGATAAAATGACAAGCAGGCGGACCATTGCAACAAGAAAAGGAGGCCGGCCACAAATTAAATATCAGAAAACAGGATCAACAATAAAGTGCAGACCACTTAAAGGCAATCTTGGATGTGGTGAATTTCTGTTGTAAACCATCACAGGCAGTTTATCTTGCTTTAACTCTTATCTGGATAAGAGGAATTTCTGTTAGGAAAAATAAATTCTTGAGTCCTCTGTGACTTATCCTTACCAGGTCTGCATAGTATTACACTGTGACATTCATAACATTGATTTAAGTTAGACCGTTACAATCACTATGGTAATTAGTTCACTTTTCTGTTCATTTGGCCCAAGCTCTTCGAAGTTACGTACCCAAATCTGGGTTTGTTTTTTCTCTGCAAGACCCTTAACATCTTTTTTGTTTTATTTTATATTGTCATATTCAGATGTAATCAATAAATAAGCAATCAATCGGTCAGGTGCCAATCAATCTGTTGAAGTCTCCGCAATTAAAGGTGGCTGAAATGGATCTGATACACTGTCTCTTGTTTTGGTAGTAAACTCGCTCAGACTGCTGTTCATCCATCCGATGATGGTGTCCTTCCACTTGTATCATTGTCTACCTCTTGCCCTCAGCTTTCACTACGGTATAATGTTTTTAAATAAAATAGGAAAAACAATGTTTGAATTGTTAAAAACAGAACTTAAAACCTAACAGGCAAAGGAAGACGACTTACTGAACTCTCCTCGCCACATCCAGGGCATGTTTCTCTGACATCTGGCTCCAGGTCTGTTGAAGTCACACGCAGCACAAGTCTCCTCGTCAACTATGGCTGGGGGCTGTTGAGACAAATGTTTTCCATTGTTACATAAAGCCACACTGAATGTTTTCTACTTACAGAAGATGGAAATATGCAAAAGAGAGGAATGAATGTGAATTAAGAATCGACATCACAGCACTCAGGACACCCCCATAAGCGCTCCGTCCCCATCTCCAGCAGCAAGCAAAGAGTTAAAATTCTGATGGTACCAGTAACAGCCTGACTCGCCTTGTTCCAATACTTGAGTTCTGCATACACATCTGTCTTACAGATCTGGCTTATCTGTTTTATGCAGACTCTTTTCCAATTCCCTTTAAGTAAAAATCAAAAACCTAACCATGTTCAACCTGCTGCTAGCTAGCCGAAGCTGCCAACAGTCTCCGGCTATATTTGTGGTCTTGTTTATTTGCACCGCTTTCTTGGCTAAAGTTCTGGTATTTGTGCCATCTCTGGGCTTAATGTTTCTTTCCCACAAGTCAGACCGCTCATTCCCTATCCTGTGGTCAACTGTGTTCTTCTTGCACTTTCATTTCTGATGTTTGCTCCTTGGTTTCAGCTCCTCCTGATTTGACCAGGCCTATATCGAAGGAGAGCGAGCTTTGCTGACTGCTGGTCTCTGGACTCTCAGGCAGATGCAACCCCGACATTAAAGGAAACACGCATAATTAGTCAACTTACCACATGCTTGTCAGGGGGGCAGTTGGTCTATTCCTTCCTTCCTTCCACCCACTCTCTCTCTCTTTCTCTCTCTCTCTCTCTCTCTTTCTCTCTCTCATGCCATGCACACATACAATAGGGCCCCAGAACTCACACTAGGAAAAGTACTGTTTAACAAGCACAGACTACAAGAAGAAACAAACATTAGTACACACCTGTAGTCTGTTGGTGAGAATGATGTTTGGGTACATGGCACCCACATCCAGGTGATATATAATGGGGCTTTCCAGCCGACTGGGGCAGTCTCTGAGGTGTATCAACTTCTTCTTTATCTCCGCACACACCTTAAGCAACAAATATATAATGATCAATAATAGTCACAGCTGATTACACCAGTGTATTTGTTTTCTATCTACCAGTCTCTGTAGGTATGCATGCGGTCTCTGTAGGTATGCATGCAGTCTCTGTAGGTATGGATGCGGGCATACCTTATTAACATGATTTCTCTATAATTATTTATACGCTCAGTTTCATATATTATGTTTACTGCTACCTGTATTTAACTTGCATAATAAAAAACATACGATTACTGTGTGAAAGATAAGAGTTTGGAGGAAAAGATTAATTTAAGACATCTGCGGTCCAATTTGTGGCTGTTTGAAAATAGTTTATTCATTAGTAATTTCCAGATAAACTTTCTTTTGTCCAGCATATTTCACTCCTTTACATTTTTTCTTCTATTCTGTGCTAATCTTAACATAAAAATTTTAATTCTAGTGTCAAATCATTCTTTTGTATGGGGCGGAAACATGGAGAACAACTAAGGCAACTACTAATACATTGTAGACATCCATTAAATGGTGACTGCGCAGAACAGAGAGAATTAAATGGTATGAAAGAATAACTAAAGTAGAGATTTGATAGAGAACTAAGCAAGCTCCAGTGGACCAAGAGGTGAGGAAAAGACGCTGGCGTTGGATAGGACACACACTGAGAAAACTGCAGATCAGCATAACTAAAATGTCTTTGCATTGGAACCCACAGGGGCACAGGAATGAAGGAAGGCCAATAAACACATGGAGAAAAGAGCTGGAGAATGAAGTTAGAAAGATTGGGAGGACATGGGGAGAGCTCCATGCAATGGCGAAGGATAGAACGACTTGACGTGAGCTGGTTGAGGGCCTATGTTCCATTGGGGGATAGAAAGGCAGAAAAAGAAGAAGAATTTCAGATAAACTTTCTTTTGTCTATCATATTTTGCTCCTTTACATTTTGTCTTCTATTGTGTGCTCATCCCAGGACTTAATGCATTATGCCCACATACAGCATGGCTGCAACATTTCTAAAGTTTGGCCTACATATCCATCTTCTTCTGGCATTTGTTGATCATATTAGCCTTCCCAGTCTCCTAGATTTCCATTCCATACTGTCCTTTGAGAGTTAGAAAAAGAATTCTTGCTTGCTACATACATATGGCTGTGAATCATGGACAATCGGTAGGCAGGCCAGACACAATTTCTAGAGGCCTCAGAGATGTGGTTTTACAGAAGAATGCTTAGAATACCTTGGACAGCCAAAAAGAGCAACAAAGAGGTTTTGAAAGAGGCGGGAGCCCGAAGACAACTTATCACAGACATCATAAGGAGACAGTCCTCATTTTTCGGCCATGTTATGAGAAGAGGGAAAATAGAACATGTTGTGACCACTGGAAAGATCTATGGAAGGAGGGATAGAAGAAGATAACAAGAGAAGATGCTTGACAGTCTTGTTGCATGGCATGGATGTGTGTCGGCACACGAACTGATACATGCTGCAGGAAATCGCAGATTATGGAGAGGCATAATCGCCCACGCCAGTTGGCAAGGCATCTGATGATGATGACTGCCCTTTGATCTTTCTCCTACAAAAAAATTAAAAAAACTCCTCTCTTGCAGATCGCACAGATGCCTATACAACCATTTGTTTCTTCAGGCGAGCAGGCTCCAACATGAAAAAAAAATTGTCCTAGCCCTTAAATATTCAGGTGCTGTCACCACATTGAAGGCTGGCTGCAAAAAAATCTCCAACACTCTTCCTTCTTCTCCTTCTTTTTTATGTTCGCCGGTTGTAAACTCTGGCAGAAAATTGCAGTCGTTCATCCACTTTTGGATTTTAGTGTTTGTAATGTTGTGAATTCCCGGGGAAATCCCAGAGAGTTCCCGATGGGGACGACAAGGTCAGAGGACCAGTGATACAAGAGAAAAACGAGATGAGTGGGTCTCGAATATCCTGTGGTGAGTTAAATAAGGGATACAAGAAAAGCATGGGACGGGAACGGAAGACGTGAATCGAGAGACGGGAGTAAGACAGTTGAAGTTCGGACATGGTTACGAGAGGTCGTATGAATGGACGCATGAGGAGAAGGAAGGAATTGTGAATACTTGTTATATTTCGAGAGCAGATATGAATGTTTCCTACATGTCCTAATACCAAGTACAAGGTTTTGCTAGAGGATGGATGTGCGATTCGAAAGACGCTGATGGATCAAAGTAGTGTGTGAGAAGATTGACCAGGCCGTCGGAAATCAGCCAAGCAGAACGAACACGAGAGAATGCGTGCCTATGATATGTTGTGATTCAACGAATAAAAGCATGTAACTGAACATTCGTCTCTGCTTGTCGTAACAATTTACTGTTTGTCAGATAGCAATGTGGCTTACCAAAACATAAACCTAGCAGAGCACATTGCAGTGTTGTTTCAAAACTTGAGTTTTGTGTGCACCGCCATTTTACAGATCTGGCTTATTTGTATACAGGCTACTGGTTCTTTACCTCTTAAACAGACACACTCCAACACTGAAGGGAAATTTTGTATGACATGCTTGTTATGGAGGCAGTAGGTATATTCTAGTTAACCCTACAAAGAGGCCCTGGAGCTGACACTGAGAACTCAAGTCTCTCATCCTAGCTGAATACAAGTATAAAGGGGAAACCGCTGAAGAATACAGAGCAGGGACCCAAGAAAAGGCTCTTCTTATTAAAAAATTATAAAATTATAATTCAAGCAAGAAAGACTGCCAGGGATAAACAAATTATGCTTCACATACAGATTCATACATTTACCACATTCAAGATGGCCTTTAGTGGTATAGTAAGAGGGGATACATGACAACAGAAAATGAAGTACAAACATACAGTGATCGTGGAAGATTTTTTAAAAACATACCTCTTCGAAATTGGTTACAGAAGACAGCGGGATTTTCTCCTCCTCCTCTACGGCATGTTTCAGTGTCCTCTCCACAGCATCATGAAGGGTCTGGAATGCAGCTGGGACCATGCGAAATCGACAGGGAAGGTCAGCCCGGAAGACGCCTGACTCTAACGCCTCCACGTGTCCTCCAACATAGGTCTCTGAGTCCAGGACATGACCGTCTGCTGTCATCTTGTTGAGTACCGACTCCTGCTTGTTGGGGTAGATGATGTTGGCATGGTAGGCCTGGACCATGAGAAGAGTCTCACACAAGGTGCCTGAGCCTTTCCGCAACACCTGAAGCAGACATAAAAATAACTATACTACCTCAGCACAGCTCGAGTGGTCACAAAAATATAAACATAATACTTTTACCGCACCTGGGATGACCCTGTTTATAAAAATACTAAGTAAACACACCTTCAGTGGTCAAAACATAAACTACACTGCTAGAGTTGGCACAAATATAAACATACTACTTAAACACACCAAGTGGCTATAATTATAAACATACCAAGTAAACACCTGCGGTGGTCAAAAATAAAAAAAAAATAAACAGCACAGCTGTAGTTGTCACACATATAAACATACTACCTAAACACACCTACAGTGGTCAGTAAAAGTACTTACACTTTAGGACATGCTTGTTAAGGGGCAGTGAGTCCCCGAGATATGGGCCCAAGGGCCCAAGAAATTTTGAGAAATAAATATTCAGTATCTGATAAATGTAGAAAATATAGTTCCAATCACTCTAGCTTACACTAGGGAGTCTCTTGGTAAAGCCTACTGCCTTCTTCTTTTTAGTTCACCGGCTGTTAACGCCAGCGGGAAGTCCTGGTTGTTCGTCCACTTAGACTTTGTGACAGGTCCTGAGTTTTGCATATATATCCATTTTACTGGCTTATTTGTGTCCAGTTGGTTGTTCCTTGCCGCTCGGGCAGATGCAGTGCAACATCGAATTCCCCCCCCCCCCCCCCCACACTCTAAAATTGGGTAACAGAACACACACAGGGATGCCCTGTTCTGATGACTATGTTTGTGGTCAACGTCATTGGGTTACAAGTGTATTTATTCTTCTGAAATATGCCTGGGGATTGTCACTGGAGCTAAGGAGTTCATGTTTTGTGCAATACTCTTGGCAGGTGACCAGCAGCTCTGCAGTAAGAGACCTAGCTGGATGGTGAAAATGTAGTGCAGTGAAGTCTTACACAAGCATATCACCTTACCAGTTTTACTCAGTGAATCAAGGTCCATTTTTTTATAGCACTCTTCTTCTTCTTCTTCTCTTCCACCTTGTACCTCATCGAAGTGTCGGGGGAGATGTACTGTTCGTTGATGAGCTCTGTCAAGAGCACTATTAAGATTGATGTTCATTTCTGTAAGGCTGTTCTTTTTGCCATCACTCCATCTTTTCCGAGGTCTTCCACTCGCTCTATACCCGTTGTAACGTTTTAGTGTGGCTCGCTGTGGCAGATAGTACCAGCACTCTTTTATAGCACTCCAAGCCTGTGAAGTTCAATGCTGCAGGTATCACCCCCCTCCATTCATCTCTGCAAGTGGTCTTCTTTTTCCGGTCGGTGACTGTAGGCCTGCCTGCATATCATCTCTCCTGTCTTCTTGGTCTGCCATGTGTTGCATTCGCATTCAACTCTTTTGTGTAAAGCAGTTTATGTCTGTCTATAATCTGTCATTCTCTCTATACGCCCCAACCACTACAGTTTATTAGGCCCACCGCTCCCCACCCCATCCCGAGATGCCAGTAATTACTGGTCATTTAAACATATTCTAAAAGTTGTTGCTGCTTCTCCTTCTTCATTTTACATCCTGCCATCTTTATTCAACCAGAACTAGTTTGACTTAATACATCTATATGTACACTGTTTCTAACTGGAACCAGCTTTGTTTAGTAGATGTAAAGTTCTACTATCTTTGTTTAACTGCAATCAATTTGGCTTTTCTTTCAGTTCACCCTATATCAGGACTCCAAGATTTCGTGAGGAGTTCCCAGGAAAGTCCAATATGATGGGGGAGGAGGTGTGGTATGGTTAGTGTTAGCCGGTGTTTATTTACACACTAACACCCCTATACTACTGGACTTTTCCGGAAACTACCCAGAAAATCTGAGAGTCCTGAAAGATAGGATGAATTACAAGAGGAAAAAAAACTCAATTTGAATTAGTAACTGTGAGATCCTATAACTGTCTTGACCTAAGACAACACAACTGACCTCATCTGGCTCCATGGGAATGATGGTGCAGAGAGCAAATATAAAGGGATGAACATATTTCATGTAGAGGTAGTAGGTGGCCACTGCATCCGACACTGAATAGTTGGCCAGCACCTGGGGAATATTCCATACATGTCAGGGGATTTCAGTACCAGAGAAATGTAGAGATTTCAGTATCTGATGAATATCAAATAGATGTAAGAGACTTCAGTATGTTGGGAATATCAAATAGATGTAGGAGACTTCAATATGTGGGGAATATCAAATAAACATAAGAGACTTTAATATGTGGAGAATATAAAATAGATGCAAGGGATTTCAGTATCTGGGAAATATCAAATAGATGGATGAAACTTCAATATGTGGGGAATATCAGATAGATATAAGAGACTTAAATATATGAAGAATAACTTTAATTTGTCGGGAATATCAAATAGATGCAAGAGACTTCAATATGTGGGGGACATGAAATAGATGCAAAGGATTTCAGTAAATGGGGAATTTCAAACATGTAAGAGACTTCAGTCTTCTTCCTAGCATTCACAGGATGTAAACTCCAGTGCAAAGTTCTAGTTATTCATCCACTCCTGAACCTTGGTCTTGTTCGAGAACTTGAGTTCTGTGTGAACATGCATTCTACAGGTCTGGCTTATTTGTTTACAGACTGTTGGTTTCCCCCCTCTCAGGCGAATGCACTCCCACTTTGAAGGAAACACTTCTGATTCTTCTTTTTCTGCCTTTCTACCCCCCAATGGAGCATAGGCCCTCAACCAACTCACGCCAAGTCGTTCTATCCTTCGCCATTGCATGGAGCTCTCCCCATCTTTCTAACTTCATTCTCCAGCTCTCTTCCATGTGTTTTTCTGGCCTTCCTTTATTCCTATACCCCTGTGGGTTCCAATGCAAAGACATTCTAGTTATGCTGTTCTCCTGTTTTCTCAGTGTGTGTCCTATCCAACACCAGCGTCTTTTCCTCACCTCTTGGCCCATCGGAGCCTGTTTAGTTCTCTCCCAAAGTTCTACATTAGTTATTCTATCATACCATTTAATCTAATCAGTCGTCTTTTATGTTATGACATGCGTGTTGGGGGAGGGAACAGTGAATTTTTTTTTCACCCCCCCCCCCCCCCCCCCCCCCCCCCCCCCCCCCCCCCCCCTCCACCAAGGGGCTTCAGAGCCAATAAGAGGAGGGGACTTCAGTATTTTCAGGATTTTAAAAAGATGAAAGGGACTTCAGTAGGAGGGAATATCAAAGACATGTGGTGAATTTCAAATATGCGTATATAAAGGCAATACGTGGTTGACTGAATGGAATATACAGCTGACTGTATTTTAAATCAGCTGCAGACAGCTGACTGTGTGGCTGTAGTGCACAGCTGGTTCAAGACCTAGACTCTATTAAGAAATGAAAGGCAAAAGAACAAATTGGTTTCACAAGTAACTTACCTGAGGCTGCTCACTGGCCATCCGGCACATCTCTTCTGGGTCAAGTTCTACAGGATCATACCTCAGTTTTGCCTGTGGGATAAATATGTGTACAAGATTACATGCGTATGGGTCTGTAAACTGAACAGGAAGAAACAAATAATAATTTGCAAGCTCCAGACAGGACAATGTGGTCTTAAAGTTTTACCTATACTGAAATGAGCAAAAAGAATCTGCAACATGTGACAGCGAAGGAGTCAAACAGGAGCCCAAACATGCACTGCTGGATTGCCCTATCTACTCCTGGCAGAAGTTGTTGATATGGCCTATGGGTGCCACATTGCAAAACAAGTTGCCAGGGACCTGTGAAAATCTTAGATGCACCCTGATCTTTGTTACCCAGACAGGTCTCAATGTTTAGTATGACTGATGTTGAATGCAAAAGCTATGACAATAACAAAATCAGAAAGCCAGCAAACACCATGTAAAAGAAAAAATAAAAATAAAAGCGAAAAGTGAACACATAAACGGAAAACAAAACATATGAAAGAAAGAAGATAAGACAGAAATAAGCCACACACAAAAAGAGGATGTAGAATGTGTATGTGTACACATGGGAGTGACAAGATATGAAAAAGATGCCCAGATATTACTCCATTAAACATTAACCTCTTTCAGTTTCCCATACTGCATAAGGTGTGACCATTACCAGTGAACCCCAGTCAACGGTTAAGAGTTCTCTTTTGCACTTGCTAAAAGCTTACTGCAGAAACATGGATCATGCCCACTGATGGATACCTGCCCCTCCCCCGCCCCCTTTTTTTTTCCAGTTTGAATAAGTTTACTGAATGTTAAAATGGGTCAGTATAGATTTCTGCTTGGTTTCTGAATTGTATGTGTTTTCTGGGAAATAAAGACGGTAGGCCTGATACTGACCACATCCCTCCCTGTTTGTCTATAAGAATATAATAATGAGGATAGAACAATATGCCCATTATGCTTTAATACATGGAAATACATCCTTTACTTAACTGTTATAGTACAGACCACTTAAGGTGATCTTAGATGTGGCAAATTTCTGTTGTATCAAAAATTTGTTTTATCCCCGGCAATTTTTCTTGCTTGAATTGTTATCTGGATGAGAGGAATTTTTAATAAGAAGAACCGTTTCTTGGGTTGCCCCATGAGTTTTCCTGATCAGGTCTGCACTGTATCACAGAATACAACAAAAATGCCCTTGCCATCTAACTCGTGTTTATTAAAGCATAGACCGGCCGCAAGATCATCCCAGCCTAAAATAGATTTCAGGTAATACCCTAGGAAGTAAAGGCGGCTAGCATAAAGCTGACAACATCACACATTGAGTGTGTCCGTAAAAAATTTAGATCTAGCACAATGTGCTTGCTGTGCTGTTTACTTATTCAATTACACCTAATCTCAAACTTGCATCTTAACTCCAATTTAATCCGATCACTTAGATACTAACCAAATATTTGATTCCACCTACCTTAGCAACAGCCTTCAAATTCTGGCTGCCCATTGGCAGGTAACTGTCTCGTTTGACCCATCTAAATGCAACGGATAAAAAATATGGCTGGTTGTAATTGCAAGTGAAAGAAAAATTATTTTTAATATCACCAATCTTGTTTTTTTTAATAGATGGCTGGAAATGAAATGAACAAGCTGTGTACCAATCAACATATTATGTATGTTTCAGCATCTGATAGTCAACGCATGCTAAAGGATTCCAACAAATCATTTTATCTCTTTCAATGTACTGTATATTTTTTCTTTTAGCATTCACCAGCATTCTGGCAGACAACTGTGGTTGTTTGTCCATTTCTGGACTTTGGTCTTCTTCCAAAATTTAAGCTGTGCATATACACAGCCTTTTTAGAGATATGTATGCAGACTGTTGGTTCCTCGCCTCCGTGGCAGATGCACTCCAACTCCAAAGGAACCATCCCTTAATAAGTCACCTTTTATTATGACATACTTGTTGGGGAGAGGGGGAGGAGAGTGCGGCACCTTTCCCCCCCCCCCCACCTCGCCAATATGGGGCCCCGCAACCCACATCAGGAGTACTGTGTATTCAGCCAATGAGAATTTAGTTTAAGTGTGATTGTCATTATGATTGCCTCAACCGGGCATCAGCTATTAGGGATGTAAAGGAGCGCCACCAACTGTTGTGGTCTACCTGGACTAAAACTAATCCTGGTTAGGACCTATCCATACTTCTACGCAGTCATCCTAAAAACTGGTCCCCTTACTGGCAGCTTGGTCAAAGCAGACAGGATCAATATTTCTTCTGAGGTCTGAGCGCATCTGCCTGAGAGGCGAGAAATCACCAGTCTGCACACAATAAGCCAGATCTAGAAAACAGATGGGCACACAAAAGCCAAGTGCTTGAATATAGCCCAGACGCAGATGACAAACCAGGACCTTCCATCAAGTATAAATACGATGAATGCACAAGAAGTCATAATTATTGCATGAACCAGGAATCAGCAACAATTTTCCAGGAATGAAAGAGTTAACCAGGATACACTGGAGTGTATACACTTTAGTGCAAGATAGAATAGCAAATGACACCACAACATCTAGCATGAGAATGGAGGTGGAAGCGGTAACTGCAGCTCTCCGGTGGCCAGAGAGTAAGATGCATACACAGGTCGCAATTGTAACAGACTTTGAAAGCATGCTGAGAAAGGTGAAGACAGGGATGCTTCGAGCAGAGTGGCATACGTTGTATCTTTTCCCTGGGCCATGACGGTGTGTTGGGTAATGAAGAGGCAGACAGATTGGCTGGATCTGCACTACTGGGTGGTGAACTGATACATGACAAGGCAGATGTGGTCAAGGCCTTTTGGGAACAAGCAACGGAACCAGTAGAGATAAAAGATTATTATGGCCTGGATAGAATGAGTCATTAGGGTGTAATGGCCTGGATAGAATGAGTCATTAGGGTGTAATGGCCTGGATAGAATGAGTCATTAGGGTGTAACCAGAGGGTCTGGCCTGCTCACTACACAGAGAAAAGACAAGACGGACATATAACCAGATTGTGACTGGTACGATCAGTACTGGCACTCTGCGCTGGCTGCTGAAGATTAGGACGGAGCATGCATGGGAATGCCCGAGTGCTGTGATGTCAATTCTTGACTCAACTCAACACTGAAGATATTTTCTGTGTTTGCTATTAAAATATGCATTTGGTCTGTTTGCCCTACAACATCTGCTGAAATCAAAGTCTGTACACCAATATCAAAATATATAAAACGCTGACAAGACCAGCTGTTTTATATGGCACTGAAACTTGGAGCACAGCTTTAAAAAAAAAGATAATGCACAAAAACCTGAGCTGCCAATGTGACTGCCAATTAAACATTGTATTTATAATAGCAAATGAGAATTTTACCCATGTGCTGGTCATGGTTTGGGAGGAGTTAACACTTTATAATAAACACAAAATACAGAAAAGGTTTGAGATTTACAGTATAATTTATTTAAGGAGAAGCGGGTCTATTCTTGACCCCCCCCCCCCCCTTCCCTCTCCCCCCAACCAAACAAGCACTGGAAACCCGTGTGAATAATATAATTTATCAAGATATTCTAGCCAGAGTAAATTAGTAAGTGAAGGACCCTTTTCCACGCCTACTGGGTACTTAATAGGGCTGGATCTATATTTTATAGACCTACCAGCACTTGGTAGGTGTTGTTGTCAGCATCACACCAGCCACATTTACTTCCCAGGATTTTACCTGGTACCCATTTAGGGCTCGGCCAAACTGGCAGCCAAGGTCATTTTTGAAAAAAAGAAAAACTCTGGTTCCATCAGGACCTGAACCCACAACCTTCCAGTTTGCAGGCAAGCGTCTAGTCACTGTGAACCTCCTCACCTGAAACAGTCCATATGTGATGCCGGCCTACTTTTGTACTCTCCTTGAGAATCCCTCTGGAAGCCAATCTCTCTAAACATGTCCAAGTCATGAATGGCAGCTCTTGTTTCAATAAATGGCCTGCAAAGACAGAAGGAGTCAGTGTTTAACCTATGAAGATCATTTTTCTACTCAATTCTCTTTCAGTACCAGTTAACTTACCATAATTTATTGATAAGTCTATATGTCGTGCACATTGCTTAACTTCTACTGTCCCATTCTTCTGTTATGTTAATACACTGTCTATCTCTCCTGTCACATTCTTCTGTTATGTTAATACACTGTCTATCTCTCCTGTCACATTCTTCTGTTATGTTAATACACTCCCTATCTCCCCTGTCACATTCTTCTGTTATGTTAATACACTCCCTATCTCCCCTGTCACATTCTTCTGTTATGTTAATACACTCCCTATCTCCCCTGTCACATTCTTCTGTTATGTTAATACACTGTCTATCTCTCCTGTCACATTCTTCTGTTATGTTAATACACTGTCTATCTCTCCTGTCACATTCTTCTGTTATGTTAATACACTCCCTATCTCCCCTGTCACATTCTTCTGTTATGTTAATACACTACCCTATCTCCCCTGTCACATTCTTCTGTTATGTTAATACACTCCCTATCTCCCCTGTCACATTCTTCTGTTATGTTAATACACTGTCTATCTCTCCTGTCACATTCTTCTGTTATGTTAATACACTGTCTATCTCTCCTGTCACACTCTTCTGTTAAGTTAATACACTGTCTATCTCTCCTGTCACACTCTTCTGTTAAGTTAATACACTGTCTATCTCTCCTGTCACATTCTTCTGTTATGTTAATACACTCCCTATCTCCCCTGTCACATTCTTCTGTTATGTTAATACACTCCCTATCTCCCCTGTCACATTCTTCTGTTATGTTAATACACTGTCTATCTCTCCTGTCACATTCTTCTGTTATGTTAATACACTGTCTATCTCTCCTGTCACATTCTTCTGTTATGTTAATACACTGTCTATCTCTCCTGTCACACTCTTCTGTTAAGTTAATACACTGTCTATCTCTCCTGTCACACTCTTCTGTTAAGTTAATACACTGTCTATCTCTCCTGTCACACTCTTCTGTTAAGTTAATACACTGTCTATCTCTCCTGTCACACTCTTCTGTTAAGTTAATACACTGTCTATCTCTCCTGTCACATTCTTCTGTTAAGTTAATACACTGTCTATCTCTCCTGTCACATTCTTCTGTTATGTTAATACACTGTCTATCTCTCCTGTCACATTCTTCTGTTATGTTAATACACTGTCTATCTCCCCTGTCCTATTCTTCTGTTATGTTAATACACTGTCTATCTCTCCTGTCACATTCTTCTGTTATGTTAATACACTGTCTATCTCTCCTGTCACATTCTTCTGTTATGTTAATACACTGTCTATCTCTCCTGTCACACTCTTCTGTTAAGTTAATACACTGTCTATCTCTCCTGTCACATTCTTCTGTTAAGTTAATACACTGTCTATCTCCCCTGTCACATTCTTCTGTTATGTTAATACACTCCCTATCTCCCCTGTCACATTCTTCTGTTATGTTAATACACTCCCTATCTCTCCTGTCACACTCTTCTGTTAAGTTAATACACTGTCTATCTCTCCTGTCACATTCTTCTGTTATGGTAATACACTCCCTATCTCCCCTGTCCCATTCTTTTAAACTTCTTTTGTCCGATTCTTCTGCTATGTTAATACATTGCCTAACATCCCTGTCTCCTTCTTTTGTTATGTCGATACATTGCTGAACTTATTTTGTCCTATTTTTCAGTTACATCAATACACTGCCCAACTCTCTCTGTCCCATTCTACGTTATGCGATAAACTGCCAAATTTCTACTGTCTTATTCATCAAGTTTGTCGATACATTGATTGACTCCCTGTCCCATTCTTCTATCATTATGTTAATATACTCCCTAACCCTTCCCCTCCTCTCCCATTTTTGTTATGTCAATACACTGCTTGAATTCTTTTGTCCCATTTTTCTGTTATATTGATCCAGGCTTAACTCCCTTTGTCCTATTCTTGTGATGTAATCTATTCTACTACAGTGACTATTTGAACTCATCCTGTTTCAAACTTTAACTCCCTCTGTCCCGTTCTTGTCATTTAATCTGTTCTACTGCAGTGACTATCTAAGAACACATCCTGTTTCAAACTTTCTTCCTGTCCCGTTCTTGTCATGTAATCTGTTCTACTGCAGTGACTATTTGAACTCATCCTATTTCATGCTTCTATTTTAATCTACTGGAACTCACATAATGTTGTTCTAAAGTTCCCAATTTCTGAGATAGAAAGTACTGAATTAACAATTGACTTGCACAGAAAAAGTTAATCAACAATGATTTATCTGAGGAAGCAAAGTGACAGAGATATGAAGAACACAGAAATTAATTATAAAATATCAATGTCACAGCACTCAAGACAAGCCTAAAAATGCTCAGCCTTTCTCATAAATGTGAAATGGTGTGGATGCTGGTAGCCCTAGAGCAAATCTGGGTAGGTAGATGTTAGAATCACCCTCATCTCCTGTCACTGTAGCCAGTTTCTTGGTGGGCGCCCTTAGGAAATAACACAGACGATGAGCACTGAGAACCTGACAGGATCTGTTGATGAAGTTGCTTGATGAAACATAAAAGGATAACCTCATTCAGCTATGACCGCTGGTGTGCGTGTCAGTATGTCTGAGGAGTGAGAGTAGAAATGATCAGGAAAGGGAGCGTGTGTGTGTGGGGGGGGGGGGGGGGGGGGGGGATATCCTTTCTGCACAAGTGTATGTAGGTAAAGGTGCCCAAGCAGATATTGCTTGAAGCATAAATTGTTGGGTCTTCACACATTCTAGACCACAGGATATGAGGTGGGGTGGCTGTTCCCTTCCTCTGCACACTTCATACTCTTGCAGGAAATTATCTGGTACCGATTTATATAAGGCTGGGGTATGTGTACATAAGGTATAAAAATCCTTACCAATCAAAGAAATCTCCGTTGTATGTAGAAAATATATGTGGTTTCACTTCTTGCACATGCTCAAAGAACTTCTGAAGTAGGCTTTTCTGTTGCAGAAAATTGTAGAAGTCAAATAATGAAAGATGCAGTCGAAAATGGGGAGAAAATGTCTGCTATAGTCATTTCCTCCGATCATTCCTTCTCTTTCTCTATCTTTTCCATTATCTTTTTCTCTTTTTCATTCCTGTCAAACTTTCTCTCACTTCTTATTCTTCCCACCACCTCATCTTTCTTCTTCTGCCCACTGCCTCTTTCTTTCTTTTTCCAACCATCCATTTTTCTCTTCTTCCCATTAACCCTCCTCTTTTTTCTTCCCACTGTCCCTCCTCTCGCTCTCTCCTTCCCGACATCACTCTTCTTCCCCTTTCATTCTGCCTCTTTTCCAACCACGAGTAGCCGTCCTAGAAACATCATACATAAATGAACAATTACAAACTTATATTTGAAATTTCTTTGTTAAATGAATAGAAACACCAACCTCGTTAAGAACACCACACACAATAAAGGGACTGAATGGACAGAAATTCAAACCTCATTAGGAATAATGAAAACACTAAAAAAAAAAACTAAACTGTCAGGACATACAGTGGTACCTTGGCTAACAAAATCAGTTCCTGACTGGTTCATATCTTGAAAAGTTTATCTCAAAACCCATTTTCCCATTAGATCTTATCAGAAATCAGTTTAATTTTTTTCTCAGACCTAATGTTTTCTTAAATAAACCAAATAATAAAAAAAGAACTACTCTCGACTAAATTAAGAAAATGCAAAGAAATTGATCAAGAGTGAGAAGGAGCATTTTTTAGAATGACCATAAATATGCGTTTTGTATACTATTACATGTTTATATTTATCAAATCTATGGTTTTAAATGATAAATATGTAAGTAAAATTAAAATGACCCTTCGTTAAATTTTTGAAATTTTTTAACGAAACTTTTTTTTAAACAAATTCTATCATCAGATGTAATTTGTTACTTCCTTCTTGTTTCTTTGTCAAGGAGGTTTTAAATACCTAACACTACCTGCGTCTGTTCATTTCCTTAAAAGTTTTCTAAAATGATTAATGACATTATCATTGAAGATGGCGGTTCTGAACATAGCAACTCGCTTTGGATGTCACTTGTTCACTAATTCTTCTAGTTGGCCCCAGCGCTGCAACACTTTGTTTTTTTATGTCACTTGTGAGGATTGCTCCCTTTTTTGTTGCCGTCTTCATTCTCTGAAGACATTTCTCTTCCTCCTCATCCCTTACCACTTCTTGTTTGGTTCTTAGCTTTTGTAGCTCTTCAGTGGTCAAATCAATGTTATGGGCCTCTAAAAGCTCGTCTATGCCTGCTTCATCAACCTCCAAATGCATGGTCTTGCCTAGGAAGACAACTGTATCCTCAATGTCAATTTCGCTTTCAGATCCTTCCAATACAGTTCCTCGGATACAGTACGTGCAGCTTGCCTCACATATACTACTCGCGTCATATTTTATATAAATGTGACGAAGTAACAACAAATACACATGCATGTGCAGCGCATCACAGTTCGTATCTCAAATCTAGGTATGTAGAGGTCGAAATGGAATTTGGAAAAGTTTGTATCTCAAAAAAGTCTGTACCTAGAGTGGTTCTAAGTTGAGGTACCATTATACTAATCTTCACAAAACTAAACTGACAGAAACAATAATCTCATCATGGACATTTATCGTTGGTTCGTTGCCTTTTAGGCAGATGCAGGACATCTCTGAAGGAAACCCCTAATTAGTTGGCTCTTACGAGATGCTTGTTAGGGAAACATTGGGTCCATTATTTTTCCCCATTAAGGGGACACTTAAAATTTAAAAGTGGACTGATTTCAATGCTCTGAATGTTATCCCAAATGTCATAGTCTCTGGAGAACAGCTGGCCACCTACCAAAAGCAAGAACTCTGCAGCATCAACGATTCCTAGGAATCTTTGTCAAGTTTGCTCTTAGTGAACTGAATGACAGTCTTCTTCTTCTGCGTGTTCACTGGCTGTAAACTCTAGGAG